CGAGGAGCACTGGGGGTGCCCATTTGTATCACATGATCTCATTGATAGGCGCACTTTGCGATCGCAAGTCGGACTTTGGGGATGGGCAACGCCCAGCCAAAAATTCGACTCCGACGTAACTTCCCACACATAGCACTGCCACGATAATGAAGGTACCGGACACAGTGTCATGTCCGACCAGTTTCTGCAGTCAACCGTGCCAGCTGACATTTAGGACTGTAGAGAGACTACCAATGAAATTTGATTCTCGAGAGAATGTTCAAAAAAGAATTTCTTTCCTTGTCCTCTGAGTAGTGTAAACTGATATCAGCACCGCTTAAAAGGGCCAAACATGAAAATCTATCCTCAACATATTGTCTATTGGCACCCAAAAGAATATTATAGAATTGTTTTGCAATTTTAGAACCTTTGTGGAAGGTACGGCACTTGGTGCAAGAAGAACTCTTTTTGCGGGAGTTTGAGCGTCGAGAGTCAGCCACTAAACTCCGCACAGCCACTTGGCGGTGCTCTGTAAGAGGGAGCGCGTAGTTTGCAGCAACCAAGGGTGTTTAAATTTGATTAGATAGTAAGATATGTCAGTTTATCTAGTTTTGAAAGCTTCGCAGAATTTATGACTTGGGAGAAAGGTCGAGGAATGAGGTTGGACACACAACAACGCGCACATCGAGTAAATGCGTGGCAGTGTAACCGTGGGATTGGTTACGCCTACTTCGTAGGCGTTGCCCATCCCCACTTGAAGTCGTCGTCGTCGTCGTCGTCTACCTTTTCGTGAACCACGATGCACGTCGAGACCACCGACAGGCTCAAGATGGTTGAATCAAGTTTTGTCTTGAAGAGCTTTCTTCCTCAGTTGACTATCAATATCACCACGCCTTCGACCGCAATAGATGGCCTCATCTGCCAGTGAAGCTCAACGTTTCCTGTTACATCCACACCCTGCTATTGTGGCTTCTGTGTTCGGCATTCCACCACGCCCATCTCTCCTCTGTTCCGCCTTGGACTTCTCCCATCGGAAATGGACGTGGCGACGAGTTGCGTGTTGGCCGGATGTCTGTGACGACGTCCTTCTAAAATCTTACCCTGGGATCCTTCTTTCCGCTCATCATACAACATCGCCTTCCCTATCGTGTGAATGGGCTCAGCCCGGCTGCCTACCTCTACTATCATCACTGCATTGAATCCGCGGTTCAGAGCACATCGATACAAACCGGCTCCAATCCCAGGCTGTAGGCAGACCGTCCCTGCCACCTGCTCCACAAGTTCATGCTCACGACATTCCTATCGGGTACGTGCGCCATCAGTATCGCGGACAGCCAGTTCCTCCAAAACATCACGACCATCGCACTGTCATCGAAGACACATTCGTCTTCGATTCGCTCGGTGTTTGCACCGCAGTTGCGTCCGTTGAGGCTTGATTGAGACCATTGGTAGCTGAGCGCAAACTGAATACACAACTCCTGATGACCAGCGCGCATACCTTGATATTAGCACTGCATGTGTTGATGGCGGCTGTCGAAGGGGCACTCGACACGAAACTAGGACTCCGAACAAGCTGATGAACGACAGTGTCTGGGATGTGAGTGATCATTGCCTAATCAGAGATAGATATGCGATATACCGACTTCTCTTCTCGGATAGGTCGAACACATTTCTATGGTGCGGCCTCCGTGCCCGATGACGCTAGGCCGATACTGACCGTCGCACGTACACGGACAAGATTCTATCGCTGGATTATCATCAAATGTATGCCTCTTTCTTCCATTGATTTCATGTCTGCATTCTCGGTGAGTGCTCGTGATTATCCAGGAGGTGCAGCTGACTTACATCACAGCTTCCCCCTTGCTATCTCCGGAAAGAAGTTGAGTTGTGATCAGCATCATCCTGCTTCGTTCAAGTTCGCCCGCGTGCGTATAGCTGCACATGTCCCACCAACGAAGAGCAGTGCGTATGCAGATGGTGTGTTAGACGGTCTCCATCAGGCTGTCTCCATCAGGTTGCAACAAGGATGGCGCGACTCTCGTCGTCGTATGACCATTTCATAAGACTCCGGTCAATTCTGACACACACACCTGCAAGCCTCTGCTATCTCTATGACATACTTGTGGCTGCTGATACTGTGCTCCATCGTAGCGGTCGTTCGAACGGCTCCTGACGCGGTTTCCCGTAAACTTGTGTTGTCCAATGACGACGGATGGGCCGCTTTGACGATTCGCGAGCAGTTTGACGCCCTGACGAAAGCTGGCTTCGACGTACGTCCATACTTGCCATTCTGAGGGCGTACGATGCGCTCATACAGTGGGTGGAAAGGTGATCCTGTCTGCCCCTGCGCTGGATAAGTCGGGCACGGGATCGTCCAGCGCGACGGCGACCGTAGTTGCCAATGGATGCGAATATGATACCTGCCCATCCGGCTCTCCGCCCACTGGTTTCAACGCTTCGAATCGTGAGTTCAACATCAGACTATGACCTGTGTTACAGCAGCGCTGACCTACCCCCCTTTCAGCACATTTGAACTATGTAAACGCTTTCCCGTGAGTGTATCATTCGCGTCTCGACATTCAGAGTCTCAGAAAGCATATGAATGCAGGGCGGACGCAGTTCGCTTTGGTATACAAACGCTCGCTCCCGAGTTTTTCGACTCGGAGCCCGATTTCGTGGTTTCAGGGCCAAATGTCGGCAGTGAGCGCACCTATCACCTATCCTGCGAACTCGGAAGCTCACCATTCATAGATAATTTGGGTTCTACCGTCTTAATCGCCGGGACTGTGTAAGTCCTGCGGGCGTTCCGCCGAGTCTTGTGGCTGGTGAATGCTGCTGATGAATGAAACAGCGGAGCCTCGACAGAGGCCGCCAAAGAGGGCGTCCCCAGCGTCGCGTTCTCGGCGTCTGGCGCCTCAACATCCCAAGTCTCCTACGCAGATGCTCCGGAAAACCTCGTCGAGTCCGCGACGACATATGCCACTCTCGGCGCGATATTCACTAAAACGCTACTCTCGACACCGAAACCTCTCCTTCCACGGAACATATCTTTGAACGTCAATTATCCCGCAACGAGCGCCAACTGCTCACAGGTGTCCGACTTCAAGTTCGTCTTTTCCCGAATTTTCGTCAATGAGAGCCAGACGGACGTCGAGCACTGCGGGAGCGATCACTTGCCTGACGAGACGACGGTTGTGGCCGCGAGCGGCGGATGCTTTGCCAGTGTGAGTGTGATGAACGCAACGACGAAGGGTGATGTGGATGCCACCACACAGCGGTTTGTTCTTGACAAGCTTGATGGCCTCCTGAGCTGTCTACCTTGATTCGTAGGTAATCATTAGGGCGTGGGTAGCTTGTGGTGAAGCCTGATGTACCGGCGTTCAACGTCGAATGCGGAGATTTCAAATCTTGCAATGATCTCCGATGCCTCTTACAATCTACATTGAACAAGTGGCTCGACCCGTGCGCTCGATATCGGCTTCATGGAAGCAGGTTCATGCTGCGTTTCCGAGCTGCTAATAGTTCGCGAGAAAGTCTTGCCCTGAAACTACTCGTCTGCGAGTAAAGGTGCATTAGCCTAATCACGCTGGCAATTTTGTTGTCGTGCTGGTATACCCGTCGACGCGATCGCACGTCCCATCCAAGCGGATTACCTGTTCCTCCTGGTCCCAAACGTGGGGTTCCACGGGTAGGCAACGCGCTCGATATCCCCCCCCCCCCCGACTACCCGTGGTTCAAAGATGGCATGAAACACCTATGGTAAATTGCATATATCACCAATACATGATATGGTTAATTCATGTACTACGTATACAGGTGACGTGATCTATGCGGAAGCCTTTGGAACAGGTATTCTCATTCTCTGCACCGGAAAGACTGTACAGAAATATTCATAAGACGTTCAGCGAACTACTCGGACAGGCCGCGAGTCCCTATGATGACAGACCTGTGGGCCCACTGAACGTGCCGGTAACGAACTAGTTGATATAGACCCCTCACCAAGACCCAGTCATCAGACGTGAACATACCGCCCCGCGCGCCGTAGTCTCATTCACGCTCCAATCCCGTCAGACTATTCCATCGATAGGGATATGGTTACTATACATTCGTCGATGCTCGATCTTATACGATTAGCATTAGCAAAGATGATCAGAATCAAAACAATCATGCTCCACGCTTCAATGCTCATGCGCCATAGCTCGTCGTCGGCCTCAACGGCAAGCCCGCCTTCTCGTACACCATGTCGATCGTCTTCATCTGGTCGACACTGCTCTTGTTCGTCACCCAGTGCGCCGGCTCGCGTCCGCGGAGCCGGTCAACGAACAACTCGAGCTGCCAGCGGTAGGTCGACCAGGACGCGTCGCCGTGCTCGCCCGTAGACGAGGAGCGTTTGTACGCCTTGTGATACGTCGTCTCGCCCGTTTCTTTGTCGGTGACGGCGATGTAGTGGTAGAGATGCGGCTGTTGAGTGTTCAGACGTAGAGAGTTTCCGTTAGATCGTGCAAGATACAAGAAGGAGGGAAGACGGGCTCGCCATCATGAAGTTGTAAAAGTAGATCTTGGCGTTCGCGGTCTCCACCTCGATCGAGGGCAGCTCCCAGACACGCGGGATGACGAAGCCGACGTTGGCCCGCTTCATATCCTGCACACACAGAGAGAGACGTCCCTTTGTTCAGCGACCGACCGAAACGCACCCACGGGGAGAGAAACGCGTCGACGGGGGGGTGGCGCACATACGCACCGAATAAATCTCGGACGTGACGTCGTATTCGCCTTCCTTGCCCTCGGCCGAGCCGTGCCGGAACACCAGCGTCGCCTCGATCGCCTCGTCCACGCGCGGGTCCTTGGGGAACGGGCGCGCCTTCGCGGCGGCGACGGAGGACGCGGCGCCGGCGTCGAGGATGAAGCGCGTCGCGGAGACGACGTAGGTCATGTCCATGAGCGAGCCGCCGCCGAGATCGAATCGCCAACGGATGTCGCTCTCCGGGATGGAGCCCACGGGAGAGGTCATGCGCGCGTACGTGCGGAGGATCCTGCCGTGCTGCGTATGGAGATGGCGGGTAAGCGGGCTATTTGGTTCGCCATGGAGGATTCGGTTTGGGGGGGGGGTTGGAACAGGAGCACACCTTTGGCCGGTTGACGATGTCCCTGAACGCGTGCGCGGCGGGGTGGCATTGCCAGTGGAAGGCTTCCATGAGGACGAGGCCTGTCCGTTCGGCGAGGGCGACGACGCGCTCCGCCTCGATCTCGTTGTCGGCGAACGGCTTCTCCAGGAGCACATGCTTGCCGGCCTCGAGCGCCTTCATCGCCCATTCCGCATGCAGACCTTCCGGACGTAAGAGTGTTTCGTGAGTCCCACGGCGCCGGCGTGGCAAACGCGAGTTTTTTTTGTCGGCGTGCTGCTCACCGTTCGGTAGACTGATGTACACGAAGTCGATATCCGGCTGCTGAAGCAGCTCGCCGTAGCTCCCGTACGCGCTCGGGATCCCGTACTTCTTCGCGTACTGCTTCGCCTGGGCGAGGTCGCGCGAGGCGACGGCGGTGATGAGCACGTCGCCGTGCGTTTGGGCGGGGCGGATGACCGCGGCCGAGTTGATCATCGCGGTGGAGAGGATGCCCATCCGGAGCGGGTTCTGCGAGGTCTGCGCGGGCTTGGACGACGCATACCACCATTGGTGGGCGAAGGTCGCGATTTGGAGTGCCTGAAACATCGTAACGTGAGTTGGACTGGGTGGAGGTCGAGAGGGCAAGGGCACGCACCATTGCCATGTTGGGCTAATTAGATATCGGTATTCGTCGTAGATGTCGTGAATAAAGAATCGGTAAAAGAGATGCGATGAGAGGGCGGTCGTGTCGTCGTGTGCGACGTCCATGGCGAAGGTGTATATGTATTCCAGGCATCTGGGTCAGTCTGACGTCACACAGTTGCGTAGCTCGAACCGAGGCGTATCTCAACTCCGCGGGAGCATAACCATTTTGCGAGGAGCTGCGTTCTATGTTGTTGCGGTAGCGGGAGGAGCGTCGGGCGTCGCCGAGAAGCCGCGCCCTCCGAAGCCCCAAGTCGGTGTTGGGGCGCGGTCACATCCGGCCTCAAGGGACTCATCATAGGCGCATATACTCAGCATGAAGGGTCGGAGCACTTTCTTCACGCACGGAACGTCGCATATATGCGTTGCAAACGAAGATGATCTATTGCAGCTGACAGCGTCGGCATCCTGCGGCCTCCCCTACACCGGTGGCCCGCGCGAGCCCATGTCTACAGACCGACAAATAGCCCGAGAGATCTAGTGGTGCGCGTGATCGTGCTTGACAGGGTCCGCCTCCAAGAACGCGAGGAACGCTTCAGCACCGGCGCCGGCCCCGTCCGTTGAGCTCGTGGCCGCGACGGGCTTCGCGTCGGCCTTGGTGGGTTCGGCGGCGTCGTACGCGGAGAGCTCGCTCGCGAGGTCAGATGGGATCGCCGGTGCTTGCGGGGCGGGGGGCTGCGCGAAGGACTTCACGACGCCGACGTGAGCGTCTTTTGCCTATCACCACAACGGTGGTCAGATCACAATGAGATTTTGCAGGGAGAGGGTAAGGGGGAGGGCGCACGACGGGAGGTGCCTTGTAGGCCTTGAGCTCCTTGATGTAGAGGTCCTGGACGAAGTCTGCAGCGAACGAGGTTGCGTCTTCAGTTCATGAGGCAAAAAGCAAGCGGGAGGAGACGGCGCACCCTTCCGAGCGACGGCGGAGGACGCGAGCGTCCTCGATGAACGGAGCGCCTGGACCTGTTCCTGCACATCAGCATCTTCCCTTCGCGCTCCAAGAATACTGTGAGACGCACGGAGCGGGCGGCCTGCCTGAGGACGGCGGAGGACATGGTCGACGACGAGAGAGGTTGTGTTGCTGAAAGGCACCGTGGGAAGCCGAGACTCGCCTCGTCACGGTCCACCCGCCGCCACCCGAACGCCTGCCCCGCCATAAACACAGACCTCGCGTTTTCCCCAGAGTCACCGTCTTTTTACCTCCATCATGATCTCAAGAATTGCTATCGCTCGCGCCGTCGCGCCCCGCCGCATGGCCGCCGCCGCCGCTGCCATTCCCCGCGCGTACTCCACCGGCGTTGACAACTCGTTCAAGTGCGTAATCGCTCGTGCGTGGGTATACTCCGATCTGACGCCTCCTTTGGTGATACAGCAAGAAGGAGCAGGCCCACGAGAGTGAGCACAGAGACGAATTCTCCTGTGGTATATGCGCGGATGCTAAGCAATCTACATCGTAGCCGAATACGCTCGCCGTCACGAGCAGGAGCAGCTCGAGAAGCTGCGCAAGCAGGTGCGTCGCCCCCGAGTCTCCGTTTGCCTATACCTCTTGCTCACCGTACTGTGCTCCAGATCGCCGAGAAGAAGGCTGAGCTCGTGAGTCGCACCTACCGTCCACGACCCGCTTCTCGTGTTATTGACGGCCTTCGCAGGAGAAGCTCGAGCAGGAGCACAAGGAACAGGCCGAGAAGACTAAATAAACAAACGTTGCCTACGTCGGTAGTATGTCGGTTTGCTCGCCCGTCGCCCCGTTTCCGGTCTCATGTGCACGTTCAGATCATAGCATCCATCGTCGCTTGTAGCTTCCAGTCGCACATCGCAATCACATTTTTGTTCGTTTGAACATCTGCTTAAGCAGAGTTGCGCCGGTCCGCAACAGACGACGCTCAGCGTCATTCGGCGATGCTCTCGGTTATCCAAAGTCGACTCGCTCGCTTTCCTGTGAATTCAGAGGAACGGCTATGCAGCCTACAGGATAAACGGCCCAAAATGTGGTGCATGCTGAAACAAACCCCCAGTTGTATCCCAATCCAACAAAATCTCCGGGCTCTCGCGGGAGACGCGATGGAAGCGCGAGTCACAGTGCTGCGGCTTCGCTAGGCGATCAGCGAGAATGCCGTCGCCGGTGCCAGCGGCCGGGTGTCTTTTGTGCTTTCTTCGCGCGTTCTGTCTGAACGCTCGCCACCGCAAACTCCGTAAGGAGATGCCGTATTGACGACTACTATTCTGCGGACCCTTCGAATGCGCGACAGCATACACCAGTAGCACTGCGTCGAACGGATGCTGCCTTCTTGCATTGTCGGCTCATTCACTAGCATACCCAACGGCCTCCACCTGATGGTACCAGCTACCGAATCCTCGCCTTATACGATGTGAGCATTCCTTCGCCGATCCCGACGCCCTTACCCCATGCGTTCATATCGCTCCGTTCGTCCTGGACAACTTCGCAGCTTCTTGCTATGACGTCTACCCGGATGATTTGGCTATATGCCTGCATGGCTGTAATAGCCAACCAACTCCCGACTTGGGGCCAAGGTAGTAGTGCAGGGTATGTTTCAGCATCCTCCACAATTCCTCCGTTTACTCGTCCATGTCGTTCTGTCGCAGCAGCCTGTATGCTTTTTGGTATAAAAAATGCGCGTCTCTTCAACACCGAAAGGCAGTCCAGCAACCTCATTCACCTCTACAAGCCTTTGCGAGTAAACGTACGTCCACCAGCTACTCTGAGGACAATCGTCTGACCAGCGACGACACCTCCAGTTCTTCGATAACATCATGATGTTCGAACGCCTCGCCCTCGCCGCCGCTTCGCAAGGCGTCTTCGCCGTCAGCTGGCAGCCGTTCTTCATCGCCGACTGCTCCGGAACCGTCGAGAACTCGGGCTCCTACACCGGCGGCAGCCCGCCCATGAACGGGAACGGACCCCAGCAGTGCATCCGCCAGCATCCCGCCTCCGTCGACTTCGCCCAGTCCGGCGGGGTGCGGTGCTCGCTGTATCATCTTCAACGACCAGAACTGCGCCGACTTGCGCGTTCGACGTCGGCGACGGGTGCTTCCGACTTTGGCGGCACCGGGCAAGCGATCGTTCGGGAATCTCGTGCTGAGGCGGCGACGATCGGTGGGCGTCTGTCTATTGTTGTAGAGTACGGAGAAAGTTTGCGCTGAATCGATCATTGGCAGTTTGGTGAGAGCATGGTTGCGTCGTACGATGCGATGAATGATGCCGGAACACCTTGCTATGCTAGCGTGTACTTGGTCTGAGCTGTTCGTACATGCAACACGTTGTCTGACCTGCACCATTTACCTAAGAATTCCCCGTGACGATGATTGGTGGCAGGTGCCGAGTCGACTACCGACGCTGCTGCCGCCCTGCATTGCAGAGTCCTTCAGGAGGAAACGAGAGGTACACATAACTGATATTGCAGCAACCCAAAACCCAGCATGTACAAAGATAAGGAAATCGTATAAGTTAAGCCGGGCCGTCGAACTGGACGGCAGGGCAGTCCTGGCCGCCGTCGGGGCAGTGAGGGATGAGGGTCTCAGTAGCCCCGCCTGAAGAGAAGACACAGCGGCGTGAGCAAGAAAATTTCCCGCGGGCGGAACACGCGAGCACACTCACGGTCGCTGGTGAGAGTCGGGAACGCGCGCGCGGTGCAGGCGATCTCGAGGTCGGCCGGGCCCTTCGTCGCCGGGAACGACGCCGGCTTTACCGCGGCGGTGCTCGGCGCGGGGACGACATCCGAGCAGTCGATGAGCGAGTTCCGGTTGTGCCCGAGCACCGCGAGCTTGGCCATCGCCGCCTTGAAGCTCGCCGCCATGAACTCCTGCTGGTTAACGAATCCTTGCCAGAAGCACGCCGTGCGCGAGTCCCGGGCGAGCGCAAAGTCGGATTGCAGGCGGAGCTCGCCGGTGTCGTTGCCGCTGCCGACGGGGAGAGGAGAGGTGACCTCGCCGGTGTTGTTGCCCGTGCCGGGGAACCCGGTACCCTTGAGGAGCACCTCGAGGAACACCTGGGTATCGAAGGTGAACGGCGTCTAAGGGTGCAGATAGTCAGCTTCGTTGTCTCAGCAGGTTAAGCTGAAAGGATGCTCACCGAGTCGAACGGAGCGGCGTCGATGGTCAAGTCAACCTTGTCCGCACGCGCGACCGAGTGAGAAGCGAGGAGAGAGACGACCTCGAAGGGCGAGAAGTTGCCCGCATCCTCGAACCGCGCCAGGATCTTCGACACGCTATCTTGCGGCTCCGGGATCAGGCCGTCGACGGCCGCGATCGTCTTGTTGGGGCGGCCAGCCAAGAACTCCAGTTGGGGCGCGCCGGGGCAGTTGCTCAACGCAACGGTGCCAGCGAACTGGACGAGATCACCGGCACTGATCGTCGGGTGACGAGCGAGGAACGGGATGAGGTTGTTGACGCTGTCGTCGATACCGTTGTTGGCGGCGAAGTTGGGCTCGACGGTGGGGAAGAGGAGCATGGATCCGTCGGCGCCTCCGCCAGCCTTGGGACCGAGGCTCTGGGAGATGGCAATGGCGTCGTGGAAGGTCAGACGGATGACCTCGTGGGCTAGTAAGGACGAGGTCAGTTCCTTGTTAAGAGTTAAGAGCAGGAACGCGCTTACCATCTTCACCGCATTCGTTTTGGAAGATGGTCTCCTGGAGATCCTTGGCGAGGGGGATGAACGCGCAGCAGGCCGCGTTGCTGACCCGGGTGCCGTCGGGGCAGACGGCGGTCGGTGCAGAGCGCGCAACGGCGGCGAGAGCGACAAAGGCGAGGAGGGACGCGAAAGCCATTGCTATGCGTATGACCGGAGTAGGGCGTAGAGCTGAAGAGACTCGATGTCCTGAGGTTCAGCTTGCAAAAACGTCCCAGCTTATATACCCAGCAGGAGTCGTGCTTGCAACATGGTCCGGAGGCCAATCATCCTTGTTCAAGCACATCGAGCCAATGGAGAGCCCGCCATTTGAGGACTCACAGGAGTGTGAACGAGGTGAGTGGACGATAGCTCTGATCGGCACATACGAGGGAGCGCGCAGGAATGCCCGAGCGCATACCGGCAAGGATACTGACTATTCCGGGACCGTCGAGCATGCGTCGGGTTGAGAAGCCAGGCGCGATCGTGGACTGCACAGGTAAACGTTGTCGCACCGACGGAAACCAAAGTATGGGAGTGGGTAGAACGAACAACCGCTGTGGGACCAGGGGACCGGGACAAACCCATGCCATGGATCTGCTTCACCCAACGCTCTGGAACAACGCCTGCCAACGCAGTGGAGTGCTGGACGAGGTCCAGATAGGTCCATAGAAATCATCCACTTCCCTGGGACAAGGAGGTTCGTACGTCGTTCAGAGCGCCCAGAGCGACCGGTTTTGATGCACGACCATTGACGCCTTGACCACTACCAAGTGCACGAAATCGCCTGGGATATATCATGAAATTGTGGAAACATGATCGTTGATAACGCATAACACAGATGACCCATTGACCCATTGACCCATTGACAGGAGAGGTTAGTTCGCATTCTGGCAAGTTCTGATGATGGTGCACGACAGAAGATGAGCTGCGCCGAGAAAACCAGCAAGTCTCACGCACGGTGGGGCAACGTGGGGTTGCACCCAAGGCGCTTCTCAGGTTGCGCTGTCCGAAGGAAGAAACCAGGCTACATATTGTCTCAAGGCAACACAAGCGGGTTGCCGCGTCCTGGTCCTCTCGTATCTTTCCATCGTTCTGAGCTCGTTCCATCATACTTCTAAAGCTTACAAGTAGCATGAGCCTCTACGATGGAGATGCTGCAATCGCGGTCTCGAAGTCGGGTGGTGGAGTATCATCGTCGTGCAAGCCTCCGTGATCCTTCATGGTCGGTAGTGCTGATGGGAAAGTCGCGGCTACAAGCGTGAGCGGTATCGTTTGTTCGATGGGTTTCTTACAGCCAGGGAGAACGACGCGAACTCGAAGGAAGTACTAAAAGTGCGGCCATTATTGACTGTCATGGTCAAAGAGACGCGGAAACTCACCGAGATGCTTAGATTGAGAGTTTCAAAGGAGGGCACGCACGGAAAGATGGCCGAGGTCTCGAGGCGAACTGTGCACTCGCAGGTCCATTTGGATTTCGATCGAGTCCAAATTGGGTCTTCGACTACAAGCTGAGAAGCCTTCTCGGACCGCTGCAATTCTAGCGGTGTTTCTGGTCCGAGAGGAGGAAGTTGCAGAGGGTCAAGGCGGTCGGAGACTGTATGGGTTCTGTTCTTAGCATTCAGGAATGATTGGCGTTCTATCCATAGGTCTATAGAGATAGCTTCTGAAGGCGGTGCGGGAAACAGTAACCGCGAGATGGCCTTCGGAATGAGGCTTGTCTTCATGGGTCGAGTGGTAGTCTCGACAAGAAGTTGCAGAGGCACCAGCGTACCTGTTGGATATGTGAGCCTGTAAGGCAGCGCCAGCTGGCAAGGTGCATGCATGGTCAACAACATGTCGTATTCGGACTGAATACGCTGACCTCGAGCTCTGCTCGACATGGTCTTGCCCACCAATGCGGACGAACGCATTCATGAACGCGATGAGACACTCGTGCACCCGCGGCCAAGGGTATAGAATCAGTGACTCCCAGTGGTTCGGGGGATACGAGAGACGTCAGCTTGATGTTTGCGTATCCTCGCCGAACGCACTTCAACCACCCCTCTCGCGGCATGACACCACTGACTTCCAGCACGTAACGGACTGCTCCTCTAGTATCTCTCATAGTTTCATAGTCGGGATCGGTATCGAAAGAGGGTGGCAACGTCTTCGGGATTCTGAAGCTGAAGGGTAATCGGGTGAGGGTGCTTCGCGGAGATTGAGGCGAGATCCCGTTGCGCCATAGAACCAACTCCTTGCGCAGAAGGCTAACACTGTCGTCCGTTCCTCGTATAGACCTGTGCACGAATGTGTGTCAACGACTATCACTCTTCCATTACACGGATGATCGACTCACGTCTCTACCGTCCCAGCGAGGGCGATCTTGACATGATCGATCCCTTCAACCTCAGCAAGGGCTGCGTCCATATTGACGATTCCTTTGATGGTCTGCCCAGACACTGCTGTGATTGGACCTCCGCTCACCACCCGGCCCATCCCTGAGGGATCGAACAGCAGCAGGATCTCGGAGGACATGTCGATAAGAGAGTTGCGCTCTCGTAAGTCTCTTGATATATGGAGCAGCATCCGAAGAGGGCGGAACAGATTTGAGCTTGGCTAGCGCTGGAAGCAAGGTCAATCGACAGGCAGAGGGATTGTTTCGTGGCATGCCGAGACGAAGGAAGCCGTAAACAACATTGGCTTGTATCGCTTGTCTTGGACGAGCCCTTCCGAAACAGCCTCGCATGCTGCCCCAGGTTATTCATGACTTGGCATTGTGATGATAGAAAGAGACTCGCTCTATGTCGTGCGAGCGCCGAGACCCGTTATGTACGGCGTCCGACTCCGGAGTCCGAATCACGCCTTGGCCATGAACTCAACTCATACTTAGTCTCGTACTGTCAACATATCATCCGTCGACCACCGCTGCTTCACATTTTAAATGGTCGAAATATACTACTACGCCAACCAACGATGAATCATCCCCGCGAGCAGTATCTACGGCATGTTGAGGACTTGCACAAGTCAGTATCATGACGGTACCTCACCCTCTGCGAGGGCAACGACCCAATACTCTCTGTGGGGTGTGATCAAACGATGAAACTTGGAAAGTGCTCAGCGGCAGCAGGATGCACGTACGGAGGTAAATCTAAATGGGAGCTCGTATCGCTGCGGTAGTCTGGCGCCGGTGTGTTTCTATTGAGCACCCGTGCCGTGGACACCAAACACAATGGTATCTTGCTCGATAGGTAGTTCCCTACGCCGGGGAAAGGCACACGAACATATATGAAGTACTGACCATCTTCGTTAGCCGTCTATTCGGATCATATTGCTTGTGCTCACGGAGACTTGGATCGTATCAAGAAGAAACGTTGGAGAACATGTCAGGATCAAAGATGACTTGAACGTTATCCTACGCTCGCAGATCATTTTTCGGGGTTGATCTCGATTGAGAGAATCCCGGAGCGAAATGCTGCTTTGTCCCTCCTGGTTCAGGGCATCCGCTACAGGTATCCACGTTGGCTCCTCCTCTACGATAGTGAACCCCTCTTCTCGAGGCACCGGCTGGGCTGAACCGAATCCTGGCAGACGCGTTACACTTTCAGAAAATGTCGTCTTGGCTCCCTGCGCAACCACGGTGACCGAGCGACAGACCCGGAAGTCAACGATTTTCGGGTTCTTGGGAGGTCTGGGAAACATATTTAGTTGATCCTTGGACGCTAACGACTTAGCCACTGGTCCAGTTCTGGTAGTAATGATTAGCTGGAGGGGTATGGGTGTGCCCAGCGGGAACGCAGGCAGATCAGGAAGCTGGACCTCTATCTCGGCAACACAGGTGTTGCCAAACATCCTGTTACGAATCGTCTTCGACTGCGCGTGCGACCTCCATAAGAAAGGTACCCTGTCGTTCATGAACGCGTTGCGCAACTCTATATGAGCCGGCAGACCCAGCGGAACCATGGCGATGATACAGGCCGGTTGTACCAGACGACGGGCGCGGCCGGGGCGTTCTTCAAATGTTACGATGGAATAGCGGACCATCCCAAGGCTCTTGATCGCTGAAACAGCATGAAAGGAGGGTGGCAAGTTCGCATCGAGTTCCACGTAAAACGGCAGGGATAGTAAACCGTCCTCGGGTATTTGAGGAGCTTCTTCCCGTTGCCAGAGGATCCTCTCCACTGAAAACAACGATCGACATTCCTTGTAATGCGCTGAGCGGCCTCCTGAGCCTTTCAATACGGTACGGACGATCCTGCTTGAAGGTGAATACATTGTAAACGGGGACACGTGGGATCACGTACGTCTCCACAGAACCTGTAATTGAGATACCGACGGCCTCAATCCTTTCTTTACGTGCGAGCACGGTATCAAGGATTGCGTGACCGGCCAATGCATCGCCTGCCACTACGGTGGTGTCCTGGATGGACAAGGAAGAGGCTGAGGGCATTCGTAATGCAAGCGCTGGCAAATTCGTCGAGAGAGGGTGTCACCTCATGAACACAGCGATTGCGAGAGTTCGTGACAAGAATTAGATCCATCTTGATCCACAACGTCGATGCTAGGAGGGCGCCTGATAGCAGCAGTGCCAAGAACACCGAATGCGATATATACGACCTTTGGGAATGAGTGAGATCATGTGGTCCATATGGCAACAACGCTCAATGGTTCGTAGGGCCAAAATAGCTATCAATGGCACTGGAACTTGGCACTGGCACTGATCTGGAATGGGGTGCAATTACAATGGAAGACCAGAAACAAAAAGCATCGTGTGACAGGCTGCGGCGAAACCTTACGTCGTCACCATCGCTCTTCCCCTTTTGCATTACCCAGATATCAGGTACTCGTCGTCGGAATGCGATCATGCAGAGCTCAATCCGCTGAGCGGGCGACTCGACGTTCCGGCCTGGGACTGTACTACCGACCGAGACGTCGGCGAGGTCATTGCCTTCAACACCGCCGCCCGCGTCCTAGCCTTTACGTCCAAAACCTTGATGCTAACGCGTATCGGATCCTTCGGAAGCTCCTCCGCGTCGACGTCCCGCCAATCCCGATGACGGTCTTCCGTCTGCATCACAAACAGCATCTCGTCCGCCCAGAGGCGGAACACCGAGCGTTCCTTGTCACGCTCGGAGAACGAGGGCTCGTCCGCGGTACGCTCAACCTCCAACAGGTCGTCGTAGAGCGGGAACGCCCCGTCCAAGACGGAAAAACCTTGCTGGGGGAGGTACATCCGCGACATGCCCGTCCGGTACCGCCACCAAGGCGTTAGGTTCGCGGAGCGGATCGTCGCGCCGTCGATGTGGAGGAGCGAGTCCTCGTACCCGTCGGCGATGTAGATATCATCGTGAGGGAAGGCCACGCGCGGGTACATGGACGCGAGCCTCTTCGGGCTCTTCCGCCCCCTGAACTCGTAGTGCATCTCCTCCGAGCCCCAAATGAACTCGCCGGCAAGGTGGTGGCTGACGCCGGTCAGCTGCAGCGGGAAATTACGCCGGTAGATGAGCACGGGGTGCTGAGCGCCCCAGTGGGTCGAGCAGAGGCCTTTCTCCGTCCATTCGACCTCGGGCGGCAATCGTCCGGAAAGGACGTCCCCGAATGTCACCAGTGGCGAACCCAACCCGAACCAGTCCAAATTGACATTCGGAAGGGCCGGCGTGGTGAGCATCGCATGCAACTTGGTCAGGCCGTAGAAGAGCGCATCCTCAGCCAGGTTTCGGGTGGCCAGCTCGACGCTCATCGTGTTCGGGACCGATGCCGCCGATAAGGGGAGGATAATATAACCGGAGAGGTATTCCACGACGAGCGCGAACAGTGCAGGATTTCGATCGATGTGGACTTCATGTGTGAGTGATTCCGCTAGGCCGGATAGGAAACAGCCCGTGAAGAAGTTGGGCGAATCGAACTGGATTTGGTTGCGGCTCAGAACGAACTCTTCCGAGCGAACGAAGACTTTGTACGATGCTCGTGGCTGTTCTTCGGGTTCCGTAGACATGGCAGGCTCCGACATGATGAAATTGCCCTCGGGTCGGGGAAGGGGGAGACTCGAAGGCGAGGTGGGGAGAAAGCTCAGATGATCGGTCTTGTTGAGAATCGTATGGGAGGCTGGGAGGTCATGGATCAGCGCGATCGCTCAACGAGAGGCTGATGGTGACATACCGGAGCCGCTTGAGCCTGCTGCGAATTACCTGCGGCGGTGATAGCGTTGACCGCAGCGTGGATAGGGCCTACAGGTCTGCCAAGGTACCCCGAAAAGAACTCGTCCAACCACTCGAAGAAAACCGCCTTGTCTTCCGGAGAAAGGTTTGCCCAGTCTATGCTGATGTTATCGGAGATTTCGTCTTCGTCCTGCTGATATTGCTGAGGTGCAGCCTCCACGTGCCGAGATGGAAGAACCGGCGCGTGTGTTGGTGCATGTGCGCTCTCATGAACTTCAGACCGTTCCGGTGGGCGTACACTGCGATTAATGGGTGGCGGAGGTAGCCTGGATGAAGGCGTGGCGTTGTCTTGTGCGGTCTCATGAGCTCTCACTCCTGCGTATCGGGTGGGGGGAGGAGGTGGAGGTTTAGCCTGGTACTTCTCGTTCATGTCCCAGTTAGTCTGTTTAGTCGGCACACTGGAGTGTCTGTCGACAGTATTGTGCAGCTTGGTGCTGGCTGATTGGGATGCCTTTTCGGCCTTCGCCTTCAGTTCCGCAACTGGTGAGGCATCAGCGAAACGGATGGCAATCCAGTTCAAGTATATTTCTACGCACACGATGGCATAATCCAGGCCTTTTATATCGTAGGGTCAAGAACAAGGAGAGGAGGTTGAGGCGCTTGTCCGGGTAGTGATTGGATGTCCGCCGCGCCGATTTCGAGCGCCGACCTCCGATGAAGGCGGAGAGGGCTTCACAAATGCTTCTGGTATCTCATGTTACACAACGCGCTCGCTTGTATTTCTTGTGAGGTCTTCCGACTGTATCTGACTGCGACCCGAATTGCACTCGGAGCCTCCTGTAGCGAACGAAATTGTACGCGCACGCACTACGCGCCTTCCAGCGCGGCTGTCAGCCTCACTTGCAAAGCGACTAGATGTCGGGTTCGACTAATGCTGTGGAAACATTAATTCCCCTGCTCGCCGGCGTGGTTGTGAGCGCGGTACTTATACGTGCCCTTTATCTACGATATTGCTCTACTCCTGGCTCAAAACCATCCAGTGTGAATGACTTGCCCGACCTGTATGAGGCTACTCTGACCGAACTCGAGCATGGACTCGACCATAGGGACTTCACATCCGAAGATTTGGTTCGGGCGAGCCCTTCCGAGTTTACTGTTTTATGTGACAGCATCCCTTATTCGTCAAGCTCTTCAGGCTTATCGAGCTCGGATTGAAGAAGTTGACAAGAGAGGACCTTTGCTGAATGCGATCATAGAGCTCAATTCTCTTGCAGTCAGTCAAGCACGCGCTCGACGACGAACGAGAGAGAAAGGGAAAGCGAGGACCGCTGCATGAGATACCCATCATCGTCAAGGATAACATAGCGACTGGGCCATGCGAAAGTAGTGCATCTGCTCGTCAATCATGACTGTTCACTCATGCTAGCTCCCAGTAATGAACACAACTGCAGGATCATAAGTAGCACCTGCATCTCCGCGTGTTATCGAACTAAGCGATTAAGTCTGAGTACCAGGGGCCGGGTTGATGGGTGTGCACATTGCGAAACCGGTCAATCGAAACGGAAACGTGCCGGAAACGATGAGACCCAGGCGGACCACTCCTAAGTTACAGACTGCCGTTCATACGTTCGTGTGGCAAATGTGATGTTAGATCAATGATGCTTCAAGGTGCATTATCTGGAGCTTCAGATGGGTGAACACGACAAAGGGCGAAGGGTCGTCGACGCGTATGCTGCTCTAGTCACGGTCCTCCTGTCTAAATTTCACCTCAGCCGTCGTGCATGAGTTCGACAGCATGCATTAATTGTGTATTGCTGGATCCAACCAATATAGACGTCTAAATGGTAAGGTACACTGATTACCGTGTGCGGGTGCTGAGAGATGACGAGCAGATGCAGAGGGTTGGTGGATGGATGACGAAGAAGGTTTAAGTAGGAATATGAAAAGGGACATGCAATAGCGACGACGGATGAGAAGAGCAAGCCAGAACTCCGAATGAAAAGACCCTCAAGAGAAGAAGTAGAGCGACTTCTTGATCGTCTCGACATTGAAATCGCCCTTCTTCGGCAGCGGCGGGAGAAGGTCGACCAAATTGATAAACCGGTTCTCCGAGACCGCTTCGGCCTCATTCGATTCCCCAAGGTCGTTCGCTGGCTCCTTGTCAGCGTCCTCGGTCGTGTCGAGCTCGACGCCGCGGGACGCCCGCGCAGCGGCGACGAGGGCGGACTCCGACATGCCAAGCTTCTTCAACATCTGCGGAGTCCTGAGGCTTATCACGGGGACCTTGAAGTCTTTGTAACGCTCGACGAACTGTGTGAATGCGAGTCAGAACGGAGAGAACGACGCTGGGTATATTCGTCAACGCACCTCCTCTCGAAGTTTAGCTAGCACATCAGATGAGTGCAGCGCGACGAACGTGTCCCGGATGATCCCCGACATCTCGTCGATCGTCGACGCGTGCGTCCAGTACGAGTCGTGCACCGAAGCGAAGGTCAAGCCCTGGCTGCGGCATTCGAGCGCGGTGAGCATCATGTGGGTCGCGTCGAGCGAGTGCACGAAGTTGGGCGGGAACGCCGACGCCTGCTTCGTCGAGTTCACCGTCTCGGCCATGTTTGGGTCCGAGATGAACACCGTCTGGAGCGAAGTCAGAATCTGCCGCCGCTGCGTCTGGCGGTACGGCTGCACAATTGGCAATCCGAGCGGTGTCGTCCAGATCACGGACGTCATCTGCTCCTTGCGGATGTCCTTGATGGGAATTCCTTTCCGGCGTTTGGACGCGGTCCGCGCCGCGAGCTCAAGGCGGTCCGGGGGGATGGATTTGGAGATGAGCCGGGCGGAGAGGTTGAGCCAGTTCTGAATGTCTTTGGCACCCCTGAAAAGGTCGCCGATGCAGTCGAGGGTCTTTTTAGCCAGGTACGACGCCGCGTGCCAGCAATCCTCAACCGGGATATCGCCGCGGTCCTTCAGCTGCTTCTCCAGCTGGTCGCGAGCGCCGATGAACGTCACGCCATACACAGTAGTCATAACCTGCGATCCCTATGTTCAGATCGACATGCGTAGAACTTGATGACAACGCAGGCTCACCGTCTGTTTTACGACTTTGCGAGCTATTTTGCCTTGCAACATCTTCGCCCACTTGTTGTCAGGCTTCTTGATGTCATCCTCTATCTCCCTCTCCACCATGTTCGCGACGTACGTGTACACGTCCGACGGCCTGTCCGTCACAGCCAGGTTGACCTGCGCGGCACCAATCGAGTCGCCTCCAAGGGCCGCGTAGTGCTGCAAACCATTGCAAGTTCCGTCCTGGTGCACAGGCAAACTCGACTCGAAGGCGAGCGGATCCGGTGATTCAAGAGCGGCGTGGAGCTCCTTGCACGTCGCAAGGCATTGCCACGGGTCGTCTGCATGGGTCCACCACCGTTGCCCATCAAGCGGCTTGGTAGCACTGTCATAGATCTGCTCCATACGTTCGTGCACCCAATTCACGCGCTCGTCGAATGAGGCCTTATCATAACCGTAAAGGTTGGCCAAGTGGATCTTGAGCCAACGCAGACCGCGCTCGCCGAGGGGTCTCGATTCGCCGAACTTGAGTAAACCACGGGCCAGATCGTCGCCAATGTGGTTCAAGTGCGGTGGGATAGGATAGGCTCGACCGCGGAAATCCAAGTTGTGAGGAAGATAGAAAGTGTCGCCGAGGAACTGCAGGTAACAATCAGCTTCTGCGCGAGGCCAGAGAGGCTGCAGAATCAACGTACCGCGCGCGCGATTTCGATCTTGTAATTCACATTGCATCTCTCGCTATGGTTAGACGCCTTGTCCTGTGCGTACTGCTTCGCTCGCGTTATATAGATGGTCTTCTTGTGAGGATCGGTCTCGCCCTCGCCGGGTCGCTCAGGCTCGGGTCCGTCGAATGCAGCAGGCGGAATCTTGGCAAAACGCTCGCCCGAGTTCCAAACTTGCAACACAATGTCGAAGACATCACGATTGATCACCCATGGCGTGGAGCCCAGAACATCCAGGCCAGCGTAGACAAGCTCTACGTGACCCTGAGCGGAGGCATGCGCGAGGTAAACTTCCTGTTCACGAGATTCCTTAAACCGCATGGCGCTTGCTGGGGTTATCACTACGATCAGCAATGTCTGACGTTATGTCAAAGCCAGAACGTACTCTTGTTGTAGATATATCCGCCCTGGTTGTGGTCCAGCCAGGGCTTCGGCTTCACCAACATCGGCAAGTGTCGAGGGTGCAGCGTATCTCGGAGGTTGTCCTTTGCCATTCGCTCCGCGACGACTGGGTTCAACCTGATGATGCCAAGCTTGTGTCCCTTCATGTACTCGTAGGAGTGATAGAACGCTGGGTGCTCCTCGGTCACTTCCTGGCCGGTCACCTTGTTGATCGCGGTACGCTCAACGGTGGCGACGTCCATGAGCGTGTCCACAAGGAAGCTGCCGACTCGGACCTTCAGCTCTTGGGTCCACTCGGACGTCCACTCCTCGGCTTCCTGGACATATCGTGCAGCGGCTACGCGACGAGCGTGCAGTTCGCGGTAGCCCAAGCCTGTGAAGAACCCTCGCTGCTTCTTCTCAATCTCCGATTTCGACGCGAAAGTGGACGATGCTTGAGGGATCTGAATGTCGTTCCTGCGGCACATCTCCGCCTTGTACTCGAGTTCGACCGCCTTCCCGACCGTAAGGAGCGCACGGGCGGTCTTCATGCCAGAGTTCACTCCGCCCGAGCCGCTGAGGTGCATCAACTCGAGGATTGTAATCAACGACAGCTTGCTCGGCTTAAGGAGGCTTAGGAAGGGGCCCAACCGCTCGTCCTTCCGCGACCTCTTAGCCGTCATGATCTCCTCCTGCTTGATAAGCTCTTGAATATCGTTGGTCAATCTTTCCTCCAATTTCTGATGCCACTGCCACATCCACCGCTTCAGCTGCGTCGTCCGAAGCGTCTTCTCCCCGCCAAGACCGATCTCTTCGAGCATGTTGGACTCGTGTTGGAGACGGGCTGTAGCAATGTCGTAGACGGACTCTTCGAGGAGCTTCTGGCGTGCGGCGACGTCCTCGGGAAGCACGCGGCGTGCAAAAGCGACATTGGCGAGGTGCTTGCGAAGAGTCGAAAGATTGAAGGGGACTTCCATTTCCGGGGGTGTATCAGGCGGCGGAAGGGGGTTGCCATCTTCATCAAACTCGGGAGCGCGAACCTGCAAACGGCCAAGCGAGTGAGTACGGGAGCATATATGCGCAGCACCACGTCTTACCTTGACCTTCATGACGGGGTTAACATCGGGTACACCCTCCAGCGGATCCGATGCCTGCATCCCAATTTCTTGCGCGCTACCCAACTCGGTAACAACGCCCGAAACGTTCAGCTCCACGGCGGCACGGGAGAGAATCGTGATTATGTCCGCTGCTTCTTTGGAATCGGGGATGTATCGATCGGAGACCACGAGGGATACATTTATGTTGCGGTCGAGGAGATTGGGGAGGAGCTCATTCGGCGGAGTCATGGTCACCTCGGGAACTGGGGTAGCGGAATCGGGGTTATAGCGGTTCCATGCGAGAAGCATGAGAGCGTAGGTAGAGGCCGTCGGAGGAACCTTCTCTCTTGAGTCACCTTCCATGGCATCGTACAACGCCCACATCTCCTCGAGCCAGTGCACCCGCTTCTCCGCCTGCCGGGACGCCATCTCTAAATAAGCTTTGAGGAAGCTGTTGTACAATCGCGGCTCCAGAACGGGGTCACCCGGTTGTCGGTTATCCCGCAACATGTCGAAAACCTTCTGGGCGCGTGGCACATCGTAACAGTCGTGCAAGCACGCGTCAATGATGGCGAGGTGGTCCTGAGTGGGAGTGTCCGTGAAGTAGAGATCTTGGATGCTATGCGAGGGAGTTGTTGGACGCTTCCGTCCAGATGGTTCCGCGAGGGGGGCTGGAGTCGGGATCATGGTGTACGGTGTCCTCAGCTTGAGGAACTCGTGCATCCCTTCCACGTCGGTCTGCGCAGCCGTGCTAGAACTCGGAGAATTGACCCCTGCTTGCACGTTTTGCTTCGTTGCGGATGACAAAAAAGAAGGGTAGTCGGGAGAGGGCACTGAGCCTGAAGGGAGTGCTTGTGCGCTGACGCGCTTGGATGGTGTCGAGTAGCGGACATGGCGAGGGAGCGACTGGCGCGAGTAAGACACCAAAGTCCTCTCGAGGCGCTGTCGAACGGTCCGTGGTATCATTTTGGAAGCGCTCGTCGTTGTATGCAACGACGAGAACGATCAGACAGGAACCAAGGACGAGGGCACTCGCAGACCGGCGGATGGTCACTCGAAGGCGGGGTCGTCAAGAAATTTCGGCAATGGCCCTACACGTGATCCCGGCGCGGCAAAATCTGGCGCCGGCATTCTCTCAGCGGTTTCTTCCACATATTATCCACTTATTTCGCACAGACAGTCGCGAAAATGGTCAGGGTGATCGCGACAATGAAGTACGAGAGTTTACACTCCGTTCGCATTCGCCACTACTTAAGCCCAAGTACAAGGATGATTACATAGATGAATAATTTAGGCTGGGCCGTCGAATTGAACAGCAGGGCAATCCTGGCCGCCGTCAGGGCAGTGAGGGATGAGGGTCTCAGTGGCGCCGCCTAAGAAGACGAGTGTCAGCAGGGGGGATCAATCCGGAGGACGAGTGCACATACGGTCGCTGGTAAGAGTAGGGAACGCCCTGGCGTGGCAAGCGATCTCGAGGTCGGCCGGGGCCTTCGTCGCCGGGAACGCCGCGGGCTTCACAGTTGCCTTAATCGTGGCGGGGACGACGTCCGAGCAGTCGATGAGCGAGTTCCGGCTGTGCCCGAGCACCGCGAGCTTGGCCATCGCCGCCTTGAAGCTCGCCGCCATGAACTCTTGCTGGTTAACGAATCCTTGCCAGAAGCACGCCGTGCGCGAGTCGCGCGCGAGCGCAAAGTCGGATTGCAGGCGGAGCTCGCCGGTGTCGTTGCCGCTGCCGACGGGGAGAGGAGAGGTGACCTCGCCCGTGTTGTTGCCCGTGCCGGGAAAACCGGTACCCTTGAGGAGCACCTCGAGGAACACCTGGGTATCGAAGGTGAACGGCGTCTGAGGGTGCAGATAGTCAGCTTCGTTGTCTCAGCAGGTTACGCTGCAGGGATGCTCACCGAGTCGAACGGAGCGGCGTCGATGGTCAAGTCAACCTTGTCCGCACGCGCGACCGAGTGAGAAGCGAGGAGAGAGACGACCTCGAAGGGCGAGAAGTTGCCCGCATCCTCGAACCGCGCCAGGATCTTCGACACGCTGTCTTGCGGCTCCGGGATCAGGCCGTCGACGGCCGCGATCGTCTTGTTGGGACGGCCAGCCAAGAACTCCAGTTGGGGCGCGCCGGGGCAGTTGCTCAACGCAACGGTGCCAGCGAACTGGACGAGGTCACCGGCGCTGATCGTCGGGTGACGAGCGAGGAACGGGATGAGGTTGTTGACGCTGTCGTCGATACCGTTGTTGGCGGCGAAGTTGGGCTCGACGGTGGGGAAGAGGAGCATGGAGCCGTCGGCGCCTCCGCCAGCCTTGGGACCGAGGCTCTGGGAGATGGCAATGGCGTCATGGAAGGTCAGACGGATGACCTCGTGGGCTAGTAAGGACGAGGTTAATTCCTTGGTAAGAGTTAAGAGCAGGAACGCGCTTACCATCTTCACCGCATTCGTTTTGGAAGATGGTCTCCTGAAGATCCTGGGCGAGGGGGATGAACGCGCAGCAGGCCCTGTTGCTAACGCGAGTGCCATCGGGGCAGACGGAGGTGGGTACAGAGCGCGCAACGGCGGCGAGAGCGACGAAAGTCAGGAGGGACGCGAAAGCCATTGCTATGCGTATTGCCAGGTAGGGCGACGAGGAAAGGACTCGATGACCTGAAGTATGTACCACGAGCATCTCCAGCTTTTATACCTGAAGGCCGCATATTCGTTGCATGTTCCGGCCCACTACTCCTGTTCGTTCATCGTTGCCTTGAGCCAATGAAGAGCCCTCCGTTTTCCTGGTCCCATGAGCGTGGACGAGTAGGTTTGACACTGTAAGGGACAGGGAACCTTTAGCGGTGACCGAGCGCCCACCGGCGCGAACATTACTTGTTCCAGCACCGTCGACCACGCGTCGGGAGAAGCCGTGTGTGGACGCCGACTGCATAGGAAGTCGATGTCGCACCGAGGGAATCCCGATATAGAGGATTGGGTTCAACGTATAGCCTTCTGTGAGACCAAGGCACCGGAGTCAACCCAAACAACGGATCCGTTCCATCCCGTTCGTTAGGGCTGTAGCGCCAGAGCATTGGAGTGTTCGTCGATGACTGGAGTCACCCGGTTCAACGGGCCTTCTCGTCCATCTCTGCAACGTCCAGATATTCTAGTTCGTTCATCGCAAAGAAAGACTACGAGTTGATCTTGTCCAACATTACGGAATCCGCGAGTCCCTGAAGATGCCGACGGATAAATGCCAAGACATCCGAGGGTGTGAAATGCCAACGGTACCTTGCTGGGTTGCTGACACCCCAGTCATGGAGAGGATTTGGATGGGATTTCATCTTTCGAGGTTCGCTGCGTTCCGCTGCCGCAATTGCGAGGGTGCGAGAATGCAACCCGCCACTGTGCTATATTCGGCCTTCGCAGGAAGCACACGGGAGTCGCGCCGACGGTATCGTGAGCACCGGTCTCACGCCCGAGTACCGGGAGCAAAAAGCACAGTTGCACCCGTTGTGCCGTTCGAAAAGCCGATGGGATATTCAGCATCGCTCTGAGGGACACGACAGAGGTGAACGTTGTGCGAGAGGCTCGTTGACGCGGTCGCGCTGTCATGCGTGGTATCGTCAGCGCATGTGGTTAGTCATAGCCTCGCAAACACAGTCTGCGCCATTGGCTATCGTTGCTCATGGGGCAGGGTTGCCAGGGAAGTGATTGGGAGAGACTCGTGTTGTAACATGAGGGCGTATCAGCGTTGCAAGCGTCCTGCAGGCGGACGCCGGAAGGAAAGACATCGACGATGCTCTGTGGGTCCCACGCCACACCAACGAGGTTTCCAGTTCTCCGACCGTCTACGTTCATAATTTGCCGATACGCTACTCATTAAGTATTCTATTTGCAACGGCTTACAGTATGTTCTATCAACACATCTCGTTCCATTACGAGACTCTGAGTCTCCACTGTTATTTCTTTGCACTGATATCCCTATAGGAACGAAGAACGCGGATTAACTCTCGAGGCCACTGCACCACCGAACAGAGCGAAGTCATACCTTAACTCGTATATCTGGTTGTACAGATCACCGACGTTACGGAACAATCGGACCAGCTGTATATGACGTTGGAATAACGATGACGCCTTCGTGAGGATCTCCACATACCTTGTGCGCGCGCTTGCCCTGTTCAGGCCCCATCGCCCCCTGAGCTACCCGGAGAAGCTCGTCGTATGTTAGGTCCATGATCCGACGCTCATAGTCCGAGATGGCGCGGAGCTCGGACTTCAGGAGAAGATCGCTCTTGGCCTTGATACGGCCTTCGAACTCGGGGAAGAAGACGCCGTTAAGGTTCCGTTCTTCCCGGTCGCGACTCAGCGACCCGTAGTCGTTGAATTGTCGGCATATAACAGATACGTGCGTAGCGCAGTCTTGAGCGATGTACTTGAGCTCCGCTGTGGGAAAGTAATCTCTCCACTCCTTCGCTGTGCGCCCCTTGTTGCCTGCATGTCCGAGGAGGCAAGTCATGAACGCAAACGTGTATTGCGTCGAGAAGTGGTCTGCCGCAGTTGAGCGCACCCATCTGAGATATGATGAACGTGGAGTGCAAAAAAGGTCGGTGCGCTCCTGTGACTGCAGACGGATATTGTCCTCGCATTGCGTCGCGTGGGCCATGAGAAATATCCGAATCTCCTTGCGAAGATGAGCCTTGTCTGCGTCGCTCGCGCACTGTATCCGAGGATAGCTGAAGAGGAAGCGAAGAAAGTGTCCTAGGCGAGCGCGGACATGCTCTTGCGGAGAGATCGACGCGTCATCAGATGGCGCAAGCGTGTCTGGAAGCACACCGTCCTCCAGGTCGTTGCACATCTCCTCAACAGCTTGCTGTACGTGCGCAAGTGCCCCCTCACCATGGTCCCGAACGACAAGGTCGAAAAATTCGTCCACTTGGAAGTTAACCATGATGATGACCATGAGATCGAACATCGTGTAGGGGCTGGCGTACGTCTTCTCCATGCAATTAGGACCAATCCAACAGAATGGAAGATACTCGAAGTAGGGATCCTCGTTCATGCCCTGTCTGTTGAAGACGTTCAAACGAATTCTGCGCAGCTCGGGAAGATAGATGTAGGATGTGATGAGCCATGAGAACAGTCGCCAAGCAGGGTATCCCTTGTAAATGGGCAATTGGTGATAGAACCGGCAGAACTTTTGGATCTTGTCTGTGGGTACCGTTATGCCAGTATCCGCGGAGGCGGGATCGTAGAGCGGAATAGGAAGGTGCAACGCGGTGGAAGCATAGGGTTCGGACGAGCGATTTACTCCTTCTTCAACCTCGATAGCCTGGCGGTGCTCACTAGAATCTACGGAGACTCTAGATTGAAGCAAGGCGTCCACAGATACCAGATAACTGCGGCCCGCGGCGATGGCACTGTAGATGTGATCACGGATAAGCTCGACGTAGGGTAGAGAGGCGAGGTTGGCCAGCGTTATGACAGCCTGAGCTGTCGCTTCGCGGCTCGGCTTATCGCCCCAGGATCCGTCCCCGTTCTGCAGCTCGAGGGTCCGAGTGAGGATATCCATCAATGTGATCGGTATCTTGACGGAGAGGAGATCGTCAGACAGTCCGAGAGAGCCGACGTGTCGATCGTGGTGCAAGAACCGCAGGAGGGCTTGCGATGTCAGCATAGCAGGGTGGTAGCCCATCGCAAGCTAGGATTATTGTCAATCATCACTCTGCCGGCGAAGATTCAAGACCTCACCGATCCGTCCGCTGCCGAGATCTCGGTTGCCCACCATCGTTCGGTGAGGAAGGTGGCAACATGCGAAGGTTCGGGATCAGTTGACTCAGGATCTACGCTCATTGCGAGATTTGAAGACAATGTGTTGCAGCTGGTGAAAGAATGATCGGTAGAAGTAAGTGTGCTCGTAGCCATAGCGCTTATGTCTCGCCTGATATTTGGCAGCTTTTATAGAATCCGGATTCTCATCTCCGCGGCCGGAAACTCGAGTGTGTTCCGTTCCTTCATTGTATAACATACAGCCCGATCGAGAAGATAGCTCATATCGGGCCGAGCACTAGACACGTTTCGTTTTCCAATAATTATTGAGATCCGGTATCGAGATCCGGGCCAGAGTTTGCGGGGGGGAGCATTGGGTTTCTCAATAATTATTGAAACGAAACGTCTCTACTGGTGCGCTCGGAAGAGAGAGTAGCACGGTCTGGATTGGGGAGCAAGATTCCTCGATACGGCGCCGTTCTTTGTGTCGATGTTGAGATTACGAGACTGGCCGCGTCAACGGAGTGACACATTGTCCCTGCCGAGCTTTGCTCTCTGATAGATACATTTCCTTCCGTAACCCGTCACCTATGCACGACCTGAAGTTGGCTGAATATGGTTTCAAGCAGAACGAAGACTCCCGAGAAGTCGTACAGCCGCGTGTAAGGAACAAGGTACCGTGGAGCGTCGGCGCCAGTCAAAGTCCGGAGATAACAGTGCAAACACAGTCATGTCGAGAGGGGCCCAGGTTTCTGGTGACTAAACACAGAACAAGCAGATAATCCGATGCAGCCTACTCAAGATGTCGCCCTGAAGCCAAACAGGACCAAGCAACGGCTCACCAACACATGGCGGCCGAACAGCACCGCCTCTCGGTTCCAACCTCGTTCGTCCGACCCGTCCATCGCGCAACATCGGACGAAGTTCACGGCTTTCAGAATGCGGACAACCATCACCGCTAGCGACAGTTCCGACAAGAGCTCGCTATTCAACCTGAATATCGATGTTCTGGCCTGCGTAATCGATTCGCTTCACCAACCGGACCTTCGTCATATGGCTCTGACGTGCCACGTAGTTTACGACCTTTGCAGGCCGTACTTCTACAAGTGTATCAAAATAAAAGGCATGCCAAAGGCTATCGCCTTCGCAGAGTTCTTGGAAACTGAAGAAGGGATGAAATGGCATCCCACCATACGCTCGCTCGTGTTCGATATTCAAAATGCCGTGAGCGCGCTGCATGCGACAGGAACCTTTGACAGCTCAATACACCGAGCTAAATTCATATTATGCACGCGGAAGCTACTCAACATTCTGACCGGCGCACGATTCTTGACTCACCTCGAGATCCTCGATCATGGGGAATGTTTGGCCCAGGACCCTCGCCTTATGGACATCATCGTCAGCATGCCGCACCTAACAGAGTTCGCGGTAGCTCGGAGTGATTACGGAACTTGCCTTTTGAGAAGAATGAAGCAACCTCTCTCCTCTTTACATATCGCCAAACCTCGTAATCCGCTCTTGGAACTTTCGCACCCTGCATTGGACTATCCGTCTCATAGTCTGGCCGACGTATCACAGTTCTCGTACTCTCTCGAGTCCATGGAGCTTGAAGAGTCGTATCTATCTCGTATATCTGTGGCCGGCGTCTTTCCTCGGTTGAAGAGTTTGGATTTGTCATTCATTGAAGGCGCACCTCAGGACATCGTCAAATGGTCACATATCCGCAAGACGTTCCCTGAAATACGGTACATCACGTACCTCATGGTCCCTGGCACCGCAATCCCAGAAGAATATATGCACGACTCGTCTACTCATCTCATGGCAAACTCTGCGGGCGACGCAACCCCCGTCTTAGTCATACGAACCGATGACAGGGGGTTGAGGCGAATCGAGCGGATCAGATACGTTCGTGAACTGTTCCTCAAGGGGAATATCAGTCACCTACACAGTCCCGATCCCTCGCATTTGACTCGGTGCATCGCAGACCTCTCCCCGCTTCTACTTTCCATAGAAGATGCTAGACCTTGGGGTCTTCGTCACTGGCTGGCCGAATTGATGGGAGAGGCCTACTCGCTGAGAGCGGTTTTTTTCGGAATTCCCGCAATGCCAGGCCAAAACGTGGGGCAATTCGTCCGTCTCCAGAAAGAGCGTCTGGTAAGCTGACCAGACCCAAGATCGACTAACGATACGAACTGACACTCGTACACTCAGTCGATCTTAGCGGACCTTCTTCGTGGTATGCCTATCACCGGCATGAACCTGAGAGTGCACCAACTCGGATGGAACGCCGCAGAGAAAGCGGTGAGATTTCCGGGGTATGACGCTTTTGAGTCCTTTGCATTGCGCCTGTTCAGGGCAATACCCTGTCTCGAGCATTTTAATATGTACATCATCGGAATGGAGGGTCACCAGCCCATTTCGTGGGCGACGAAAATCCGGGGCTCCCAGTTGGCTATCCGCCGTGTCACGGAGGAGGAAGGCCACACATGGAGCAGAGAGCGGGTGGGTCTTGTTACCGTTCATCGAGATCGTGGCGAAAGACTTCCGAGCTGATCGATGTATCTTTGGACAGCTTCGCGAGTTCTCTGACTGGGCACAGGAGCCCAGGCAGGTGGAACTGATCCTTGATCCCAATCGAAGTCTCGGACGCGAAGCCACTGCTCGAATTCTCCGGGCCATGCGGAGCGGCTAGGGGTATGAGGCTTCAACGTGACGAAAGCATACCATGCCTGATGCGGTGTATCTGTCTCGCGTTTGAGCGAATAGCAGGCATGACGGATATCGGGAACTGTGGGACTCTGCGACGGAACGTCACCGAATCACGCATATACTACTGAATAGATCTTTCCCACCCAATCTGTTCCCAAAGCGTATGTATCTTGCACCGGGCCCTTATGCGCGATAGCATGCGTTAGTGATGTGTCGTCCTTAGTCGTGGAGTTGAACGAAATGCTTCAATGTGCATCTGTCCCACCAGTCCATTAATTGGTCAAATGTTCTCTCTTCACAATGCTCCAGCTTCTTGATGATACGATCGTCAATATGTCGCTCTCTGGCACCGGAACGCCGTGGGATCTCTGATGAATAGAGGCCGTGTCGTGATGAATGGCGAAGGATCGTCTCTCAACGGCTTCACGACCAACGTCGCAGCTAGACTCCAGAGATAATCTCACTTGTTTCAACTCTTTCGTCCGAACAATGTAATCACGGAGCCGTTAAGCTTAGAGTTCGTATTTGGCCCCACCGCAGCATCCGATGTACGCGGAAACCGAATCCCCGGACGGCCACGTCAGACAAGCGTTCAGGAAGTACGGGCTGTGAAAAGCAGGCCATTTCAACAATGAACGAGGGATATGTCCAAGGATATACTCACATAGGGAGCCTGGACTGTCCTGATGACACGGAGGATCCCATCATTCGGTGCCGTCGACGTCCGAGAAGTACGCCTCGCAGCATGGCACATTCACCTATGATGTGCGGCTCAACAACTTTGCATGTTCCGGAGGTTGGGTTATTTGAGATATATGAAGAGTATTGCATCCGCGATACGGATGGCAGGGTGCCGCATCGACAACGATTTTCCATCAAGTTTGCAAACTTCAGTATCAATGATGTTCATTTCAGCATGAAGGTATAAGCCGCAGACACCGTGAATGGCGGGGTAAGTCATGGATAACACTCGAAGGTATGGAAGATCTAGGACGGGTATATATACAATGGAGTGTCAGCATTCAGTGGACGTGTGGCGATTGTAGTAATCGGCCATGTGGTGGGTGTAGTAGTGGGCCATGGATACAATAGAAAATTTCTAGGTTGTGCAACGACATGCGATGTGTATCGATACAATGGCAAACTGGAAGGGTGGCTGAAGGTATCGAGGACAGAAGTCAGACTCGGCTTTTGCCGACCCGCATTCGCGCGCGTTTGTTGTGTCTTTCACCTGAGGTTAATCTGTGTCTTTTTTCGCCTAGTTGATCTCTCGCCAACCTCTACCTCAGAACAGTTCTTGCTTCCCATTCTGACATGGATCAGAACCTGGAACATGCGATACAGCTTATGGACCTTGGGGTCGACGTGATAATGTGTATTGTTGACTCGTTGGGTCCGCGCGATGTGTGCAGCCTTGGGTCGACATGCTGCACGATCCGCGACATCTGCCGACCACAAATCTATCGAAGGGTGACGGTACGGTCCCCCATACATTTTGCCGAGTTTTTGGGTACATCGGAGGGCCTGAAATGTCACCCGCTCATTCGCCGGCTATCATGGGATATTCAGACCACCCTCAACCGTACAGTGTCACAGATGCCCTTCGACGACCCGGGGTTTCGGGCAGAACTTGACAAAGATACTCAGGCCCTCGCATGTATACTGGAGGGGGCTCCTTTCTTGTCCTCTCTCGATATCTTCGATAAGGGTGTATATCTAGCCTGGAACCCACGCGTTTTGGACATTATTGTGGACATGCAACATCTCGTTGAGTTCGCCACTTCGAGCAGCAAATGTATCACCCCTCTCCTGAAACGCATGTCACAACCCCTTCGACAGCTACATATTGGCAAACCTCAGGGACTCCGCCACGAAGTCCAACCTACCATCCTCCCGCACCCCTCCAACAGCCTGGCTGACATATCGCGCTTCTCTCGAAGTCTCGAAACTCTAGCGTTGGAGGAGACTTACCTTTCGCATCTTGACGAAGCTGGTACCTTTCCTAGGCTGAGATATCTGCACATGACCTACGTGGATTCTACGTCAAGGCTTCCCCAGTGGTGCAGCATGCACATCACGTTTCCTGCACTGCGGTACATCGCATACCACGAACACGAATGGACGCCGGATATTCCGCTGGAATCTACAAGGTCCTTCATACTCACTAATAAGTATCAATACCAGGGACCAGGCATATCCTTATGGACGGACATGGGTGGATCGATACGGGTCTTTGGAACTGATCACATCAAGGAACTGATCATCGTCAAGCCGCTGTACTGGAGACCGCTGGAAAGTGTCCAAATGATCGCCCCATCATTGCTCTGTTGGCATTACGTGCACGCCCACTGGCGCTCTTGCAAAAACCACCTGGCGGAGCTTATGGGAGAAGCTCCCTCGCTGACGTTGGTGATGTTCCAAGACCTTTCCGAATACCAAAAGTATAAATACAAGTATCCTGGATGCGATTGTAAGTCAGTGTGCAAGCGAGAGCTGGTGAGTATCGTCATTTCGCGGTTCTCTGAGAGCTTCGATTGAACGTTTATTTGTCAGGAGGAATTGGGAATAATTTTGCGCGGAATGCCTATTTTCGGTTTGACATTGCGCACACATTTCCGGCTATCGGTCGGCGTATCCGACGAAAAGCAGCGCCCTACTGGCACAGGTGTATCCGAGGCAGCCGTGTTAGAGCTCATAAGGGATGTACCCTGCCTGAAGCACATCAACATATACGGTAGAGATTCAAAGAGGCAGGTTCTGGAGTCGTGGGTGGTGGATCGCGGAGAAGGAAGCGCTGAATCTCGGCTTCGTCGCATTTCGGCGGAGGATGGCGCTGCCTGGAGGGAAGCCCAGGTATGTTGTCTAACCTCGTGGGGCGGCTTCATTAACCACTCTGCGGATTAGATGAGCGAGTATTCGGCTTGGGCGCGAGATGAGAAGCGGGTAGAACTATTCCTTGACCCTGGTAGGGAAATTGGACCCGAAGTCACTGCCCGCTTGAAGCAGTTGTAGGAATATATCAGTCGCTTGTCAGTAATTTACAAGATCCAGATAGAGTTGACTCCGGTATAGTGTTTGATTGTACGCAAGCTCAGATGAGGACGGAGACTCGAGCGTTGCAGGTCGTAATAATGGTGCGACGACGCGGCGCCCGCCGCCGCTGCATCCCATATGCGCTGCTCATGCGTGCGCGAGGGACCACCGGAGCCGCAGCTCGCGATGTGCGCCGTACTGACCACTGACAACCGGCGACACGTTCGTGACGGACTGTTTAAGGGGCAAGCGGTGCACTTCATTCCGGGGTGCATTCGACAGGCCAGTCGTATTCTATCGCATTGGGAGAACACATAGAATAATGTACACCACCGACCAGAGTAATGCTAGAGACGGAACATGAAACAAGGGGCAACGGGAGGAAACAAGTAATTTTGCATCGGGGCGGGATTCAGCTCGTCGGGGAACGCGATTCACAATTCTGGCTAAGGAGAAGGGAAAAAGAGAGTATATACGATGTAAATGGAACGCAGCCAAAGGAAAACAAGTAGGACTACCAACAATGGGGCACGGGAGTATGTGAGAGGATAACAAGAATCGGAGGAGGAAAACGAGGTGGATGTGCAGGGAACACATGTACAAATGATGTAGAGGGGGAAGACGGTATTAAGGAAGGTGTGGGCGATTAGGGTAAATGGGCTGTGGTCGAGCATTCGAGCGGCTGTAGAAAGGCAAACATGGGAAGAACTGGTCGACCTATGCGTAAGGGCACCGGGTACACGTCAGGAAGTAGACCGCTGCTGGAGTTCGGCGCGACTGCGGGCGGGGCGTCAGTTACAAGGCAGCCGGAAGAAAGGAGAGGGTGCGCACTCTCTGACAGTATCGTACAAAAACTTGTAGCTTCGCAGGTTGCCCTTGAGCCTGCGGATGTCCAAGCTGTAGGTGTCGTACAGGCGGTCGAGCCTCGTAAGTTCGACCGAGAACCGAACCTCATCGAGCATGTCGATCGTCCTGTCGCCGTAAATAGTTTCGATGACGCCTTCCTGCTCGGTAGCGAGCGACGGGTTGGATCCATCGGCAGGAACCGTCGATTCCGCCGCACTCGGCGCCATTTCCGTGAAGGGCGTCGGGTGCGTCGACACCTGCGACGATTGGCGGCGCATCAACAAGCCGCGGAGCATACCGCCAGCACCGGAGCCCTGCGGTACAGGTAACCCGCGACGGTCGACCTATCCAAGATCCTCAACGTCAGCCCGTCTGTTGAGGCAAATCCCAAAACAAAAACATACCCCGTTGCTCGCTGCGCTGCCCACCATCGTGAACGCCGCGATACTCGCACCCCGTGCACGCTCCACGTCCGCACCCTTCTTCTTCTCGCGCACGCAGCGGAACTTGTACTCGTGCTCGACCGTGATCGCAAGCCCCATACCCTCTAGCACTTCCCTTACGTGCGCCATCACCGCCGGCGGGTCGTTCGTTGTGGTGATCGTCGCAGGGTCGACCGGTCCGTGATGGATCTTCATTTGCTGATTCTTGTCCCTCGCCGGCGTTCCTCCAATACCGACCGAGCGCCTGAAGCGCCCACCGAACCCAGTCGCGGTCGGTGTCGGCGCGGGCGCATAGTCCGTCGCGGCGCGCTCGCCATGCCTCCCGCCGGGGGTCGTGACAGATAACTTGGGCGTCCGCGCGGGCGTCTCCGCAGGCGGCGGGACGTACGCGCTGGGAGGGGGCGGCGCCGCACCCGTAGTGGACGGCATCGCGATCGGCTCTTGAAGCGGGCTCTCCGTCGGCGTCACGTCCTCCGGCTCGCGGCTGCGCGTCCTGAACCACTGCATCACCTTGCGGGCCTTGTTCGTGCTCGCCGGCATGCCCACCCCGACACTGGAGCGGTCCTTCTGGAACGACGAGGGCGGATGCTCGTCCTTCGCCGGCGGAGGCGGGGGCGCCACCGAGGCCGCTTCTTGCTTCTCTGGGTCCCCGACGACAGTAGGAACGTCGAACACGGGCGTCTTCTCCGCCGTCGGCGTCTCCGCGCCCGCACGCCGGCTCTCGCGTCTGCTGCCCTTGCGCACCGCATCGACCATGACCGTAAGCGTGTTCCTTCGTCCACTCTTTTTGCCCGCGCTGCCAGGACTGAGCAGCTGCTCCTCCGGTTTGGTAGTCGCCGACCCCATGCTTGTGTTGACGCTCGGCGACACGCCTCCATCCGTCGATGCCCCGCTCTGCGACGGCGCCGTCTGCAGCGTCGACGGCCGTTTGCCGACGTACCACCCCCTCCCCGCGTTCGACGGAGACCTCTCCACGGCCGGAGCGGCGCCGCCCACATCCCTCGACGGCTTCCTCCCCACATACCACCCCGCGTTCTCCTCTCCCCCTCCCTGCGCACCCGCAACGTCCTCCCGACTCGGCGCGCGTTCCTTCTCTCCAAAGATCTTCGCGAGCCCGAGCCGGTCGACGCTGATCCCGCGCTTGTGCCCGCTCCTCCTCGAGCCGACGCTTCCCCCGCTCGCCTCGCGCTCGGCCACGAGCGGCTTTCCGTTCTCCGCGCTCGGGATCGGAATCACCCCGCGGTCGTCCACAGACACGCTCGGCACGATCGTCGGCGGCGGCGACGCGTTCTCGACCGACAACACGGGCGGCTCGCGCTGTTGCTGGCGTTGATGTTGCTGTTGGGAGGTCGTAATCGGTGGCTGCGTCGCCCGCTCGGGCCGCGGACGCTCTTGGCCGGGCACGACAGGGAGCGCCTTGACCGCCGGCGCGCCGTTCGCGTTCGCGATCTGCTCCGCCACGGCCTGCGCGGACGGCACGCGGTGCTTGCCCGGCCTCTCCTCGGACGCGCGGGGCACGGGCAGCGGGCGCGGCGGACTCCGGCCGACCTGCCCGTGCTCGCCCGCCTGGCTCTGCTCGCCATACTCGAGCTGGACGGTGTGCCGGAAGCTGCCCGTCTGCTTCGCTTTCGATGGCTGCGGCGCGGACGCGGGCGCAGGCGCCTGAACCTCCTTTCGCGTGGCCGACGCGTGGCGCTGTGGTGCGGGTGCGGGCGCTGGCGCGGGGGCGAAGGGGTCGTCGTCCGAGAGCGGCTGGCTGGACGGCATGACGACCGCGCTCGAGTGGCCGCGCCGACTCGAGGCGTGCGGGTGCACCGGGTCCGTCGCGGTCTCGTACACGTACTGCTCCTTCTGCGTGCTCTTGCTGCGCGCGCTGACCGGCGGCGCGGTGACGTTCGCGGGGTGATCCGGGCGCGCGCTCTGGCTGCGCGCCATCTCCTTCTCCTTCTGCCCGTTCGCCTGGAGCTGCTGTTGGGGCTGCTGCTGCTGGGCTTGGATCTGGGCTTGCTGCTGCGCCTGCTTCATCTGGCGCTGGTACGCGAGACGCTTCATCTGGTGCTGCTCCATCGCGGCGCGCTCGAGCTCCTCCACGCTCTTGTCAAACAGGTGCTGCCACGGCGCGAGCCAGGGGTGCGCCATGACGCGGCCGAGGTCGGCGCGGGCGCCTGGGTCGGGGACGAGCATGATCCCGAGCAGGTCGCGGGCTTCGGCGGAAACGTACTCCGGGAAGGACAAGGGAGTGGTGACGATATAGCGGTAGAGGAGGTTGATGTTGTCGCCGTCGGGGTTGGCGGGGTCGTCGTCGAACGGGAGGTAGCCGGCGAGCATGGCGTAGAGGATGACGCCGCAAGACCAGATGTCGACCGCGCTGCCAACGTAGGCGCCTTCGCTGATGACGAGCTCCGGCGCGGCGTAGCAAGGGGAACCACAGCTGGTCTGCATGAGGTCGTCGGCACGGTGCTCGAACCGGTTCGCGAAGCCGAAGTCGGTGATGATCACGTTGCGGTGCCGGTCGAGGAGGAGATTCTCGAGCTTGAGGTCGCGGTGGACGATCTTCTTCTGGTGGATATACCACACGCCGGAGATAAGCTGCGCGAAGAGTTTACACGCGTCCTTTTCCTTGAGGTAGCGGTGCGCGAGGATGTGGTCGAAGAGCTCGCCGCCGGAGGCATATTCGAGGATGATACCGATATACTTGTCGGTCTCGATCACGTCGTAGAGGCGAACGATGTTCGGGTGTTTGAGCGTCTGCAAACAGGGCATGTGCGATGAGTAGCTGGACATGAGATGATGATAAGATGGATCGAGCTCGACGTACCCGAAGGACCTCGATCTCGCGCTCGACCTTGGTCATCCGCACGGCGGTGTCGATATTACCCCTGCGGATGAGCTTCACCGCGACCTCCTCGCCCCACTGCGAATGCAGGCCGAGCTTGACCTTGCCGAACTCGCCCTCGCCGAGGGTCTGGAGGAGGAGGTACGGTCCGAATTTGGGGATCGTCCGGCGGGGGTGGGCGGCGGCGTACGCGACCGCCGCCGGGTGCGCGTACACGTCGCGGGCTTCGTCCGGCTGGCCTTGGGAGGTGGGCGCGGAGGCGGCGGCGGTGGTGACGGTGTGGGAGGCGCGCTTGCGGGCGGAGGCGGGCGAGGACGACGCGGCGGAGGGTTGGATGGCGACGGAGGCCGCGCGCGCAGCGGCGCCGTTCGGGCGGTGGTGGTAGGACGGACCAGGGCTGGCGTGTGCACCGTGATCGGGGATCTGGAGCGACGTCGCGGGGTCGGCGACGGCGGCCATAGTCGCTGGTCGGTGGGTCGGTTGAGGTGGTGGTGTTGATGATGGTTAGACGGGGGTTGCTGCTCCGTCGGCCGCGATGGAGGTAGTTGGTGGTGGTGTCGGTGCGAAAGCTAGAGGAGGACGACGTGAGGAGGGTGCGACGGACGAGGGCAAGAGCAAGAACAGTCGTACGCGGCTGACTGAGGTCAACGGCGATGCGCTTGTTGTTGCTGTTGCTTTGCGCTGCGTCGCGCGGCGCGTGGCGGCACTGCCCGGAAGCTGGACGTAAATGGACGCTTCCGATGGGCCTGAGGGCGGTCTGCTCGTCGTGGGCGACGGCGACGACGAGGGAGGAAGCAAGCTGCGTTCGTTGGCGGTGGGCGTGGCCGTGACCGCGGTGGGCGCAACGGACGACGAGTGTGTGAACTCGGTCGTCGCCTCCTGATCGGGCGACGGCGCGGGTGATCGACCTCCCCTGTTTTTTGTTGCGTATATGCGCGTATATGCTTTGCCTCCTGCGTTTTCTTCCCTCACTCGGCGTCGGTGCGACCTCACTGGTTAGTACCCCCCTCCACTCCGCAGAAATTTTGCGGAAGGCTTGGGAGGACGTCCAACTGATGCCGCAAGTGGCGATCGACCAGGGATGCTGATTGTTGATCACCACGTTGGCGTCTCTCTCGGAAAGAAAAGCGAAACCTTCTCCACCGCGTCCCTGAGACGATCAACTCAAACATAGACTGCAGTTCGTCGCATCTCGCTCGGTTACTACAGCAACTCATTGAGACCCGCCATTGTTCATCCTATACATACCAGCGCGCAATAGAGATGTTAACACCGAGTGTTGCGCCGCCCTTCCCGCTGATGGAACGGGGTGTTGAGGAAACGTGGGCGAATGCCATGTGTTCCTCGAAGAGCTTCTTCAGCCCTCAATCAGGCGCAAATTCCGCATGGGACCCGTAATGCCACGGCGCGAAGATATACCCGGCCCCGGTTCCAGCGCTCCTCTCTCAAACGCCACGCATCTCGCGCGCAGAGCTTCCCCGGCCCGGGGTGCTCACGGCCATTTCGTTTGATCGTGGAGGCAAGACGGGTCGAACGTTTTCAGGCGGATTCACTTATTCTTCTCGCTCCTTCCTTCAGGACAACGATTCTCGGGGTCGGTATCTGGTCATCTGGACGCGCGCGCGATTCGGATCCCCAAGCTTCAGATACCAGGAAGCTCAACTGCCCATCCAGGACGCGTGCTGCAATCAGTTAGTTCTTGCAGTTATCCCTCAACTTTCGCCTTTGTTCCTCGTCTGTATAAGCGGATACACCTCACATGCTACACCGACTACGTACCCAGCTGCACATTGCCCTCTTCAAGTTCGGCCCGGCAGGAACTTAGATTCGGAAGCGTGCCGTCGCCCGATATGGCGTTCCCTTTATGGCGCAGTGTGGCGTCCAGTGACGGGCTTCGCATTATGACTGATCGAACCATTGCATGATTACGAGTTCAATCAATGCTCTTCAAACGTCTCTCTTCCCGTGGTAGGGGCATCTGGCCTCGGCAGGGACGAAGGAAACGCAGTAGTAGTCGGGAACCGTCGTCGCGTCATCGCGGCAGGAGGCAAGCTTGCGCTTCAGTTATGCGGTTGTGGTCCGCGGTCCATAATGCCGATTCACACGTACCAGCGAATGAAATATCTGGGAACGACGATGATAATGCGTCTGCTTTACTGTACTTCGCATTGCAATATTCCTCCACCGTATTCCCGAATCGATCTATTGGTAACTTTTGACTTGCGCACACTCTTGACTGAACGTGGATATGCGGGGCGGGCGACATCATTTACGCCTAATCTGCCTGTTCGGGTCCAGAAACAACTCTACCCGCCGCCCTTCGCGAGCCCAGCCAGAGTAGCCACGAACCTGGTCGCGGAACGCACCGATCAGCACACTATTGGTACATGACCCGGGTGTTCGTAACGGAACCGCGTACCTGTGCTTTTCTCCACGCTCGCCCTTCCTCTGCCGAAACCCGACGAAGGCTAGGTTCACCGTGCTCGGCGTCGACTATCCATGAAATCGGCTGGTGCTCGTCCGAGCCCACGACGTACAGGTTTATGCGTTTAAGACTCGGAATAGCGTCTAGAAGTACCTTTGCGCATGCCTCGGCCGGGTCTGGGCTTGGCAGAAGGGCGGCCGCCATGCCTCCGTTCAGTACAGCGGAGTGCACTCGCAGATTCAGGCCAGCAATGGGCAACCCCCCAAGAAAATACTTCATACCCGACTATCGAAAACACGTGTTACGCCTTTGTTTCCTGTGCTGCAAGCCAAACGCCATACCACTCACCCGATCGTTGGAGGATGACTGGGGCAGACCGAGGTCGAGGAGTGCGCCCCATAGTACCGCGTTCACGGAGGGGATTTCGTCCTTCACCTCAGCGAAGAAGAACATTGCGCTCGAGAGGTCGTGCTCATCCCAACAGATGACAGACGGCGAGAGGTCGAGGCACGCGTCTCGGATGCTACCTTCCAGGCCTTTTTTACGATAATCAATTCTCTTATATGATCAATCCCTCGGATACGTGTGCTGCCCCTGTAATCGGTTCGCGCACAAACAGACAGGAAGCCGCATCCACATCCTCACCCACAGATTCCGTCGCGATATTGTATGCGCGAGAGCGCTCCATCCCGAATAATGTCTCCCGAGTCTCTGGGACGTAATTGAGAAAGCGCAGTGCGGGAAACGTGGCGCGAAGGCGCGCCCAGTCCACGAGCCGCGATCTAATGCCGATGTGCTTTATGTCCAGGTATCTCAGACGGGGGAAACGTCGCAGCATCCTGGAGGTGCGACAGATACGACTCCTCCATCTCCACTGTCTCGAGAGAGCTGGCGAAATGCGACAGATCGGCTCAAACTATTGGACGGATGCGGAAGCGGGGGAGGTCGAAGAGCAAAAGAGCTCCCCGGCTGGCTTGCCGATGTATAGGCTACGAAGGGGTTGGGACATCCGCTTGAGAAGACGCATGCCATGTTTGCTGCGCGACGTCGCGAATTCGGTGAGATGGCGCAGGGCAACGATGGCACCGCCAGGCGGGGTTCGCGGGCAAGGCATTCGCCCTGGTCGAAGAACTCGAGGTGGTTCAGGGCATATGCCATCTCCAACACGAAGACCATCTGCCGAGGAGGGATGTGGAGATCAGACCTGTAGCCGGGATTTCACAAGGTCCCAGTGTTTCGGTAGGTGTCGATTTCGACCTGAACGTCAAAGAACAATCAGCGGATGGTCGGGTGACGCAGGGCGCCCTCCTGTGTTCTGAGAAAGTATGCAAAAGCGATTGACCTCCCAAGAGAAGTGAGCTTCACCCGCTTGTAGAAGTGTGGTTTACACGTGTGGTAGATCGCTCTGCATGTCATGGCGAGGTGACGAAGGTCGGGGTTGGCGTGGTTGGTCGATGATGTGAGTAAATACATCGATGCTGATATCGAGGAGTGCGATGGCGGATGTATCGTCGCTACTCATAGTGGATCGAATCCAAGGATTATGCTGAGTAATTACACCGTTGTTCGTCGCACGCCCGATATCGTCGTAGCATTTGTAGCACCTCGTGGCCGAATGCTTGGCAAATCCGCTCATCGTCCGCACCTACTCATCAGCTGTATCCTCATCATATTCTGGGTCTTGAAGGCGTACCAGGCGTACCAGGCATGTACCCCACCGATAAGGACACGCAATTCCACGAATAAATGCCCGAACGCGCTCGCAGCGCGTTCGGGCATTTATTCGCAGGCTGCGGATCTCCATGAAGGAGAAACACACCACCGTATCTCTCACGTAATGCCCGCTTCGCCGAGCTCCGTCATGGACTCCAGCTTGCCGGGTACGATGCCGCTCGACCGCGTCCATAACCTCTGCCTTCACGATCCTCGTTTCTTGCCTCTTGACGACGTCGACTGCAGCAGGGCGTAACTCATCGCGCCAGAACGACACGACATGCGACATGCACGTTTTCTACGCCCTCTGGGCATCGGAACATGCCTAGTCGCCCGTGCTTTGGCACAGAATGAACTGCCGACGGGAGCGACAACGACAGCGGTGGACGCGAGTTCAACGACGACTTCGACTTCGACGCTGAGTACCGTCCCTCCGACCCTGTCATCGATCGATACGCCGCTATGGCCGCCTGCGACGACGTACATGTTCTTGCCGTATCCGTCGCCGACGCCTGCCACACCCGACTCCGAATTCATCCCAGTCACACCTGCCAATCCGCTGCCCGTACAAGATCCGCTGAACGGGCCATGGCTCGTGCCGGACTTCACCGAGGCGTGGAATGCAGCGTGGGAGAAGGCGCAGGCGTTCATCGCGAACCTGACGTTGGAGGAGAAGGTGCGTGCCCGATATCGGATGTGCACAGTGACTGACGACACCGCAGGTAAACGTGACGACGGGAGTGGGGTGGATGAAAGGGCGATGCGTTGGCCATATACCCCCGGTCGGGTCCTTCCCCGGTCTATGCCTCGAAGACTCCCCGCTCGGCGTACGCTTCGCGGACTACGTGACCGCGTTCCCATCGGGCCTTAATACCGCCGCGACGTACGTCTTTCGTCTTTTGAGGTCAATCGGACTTGACTTGACGCAGCTTTGTCCAGGTGGAACCGAACGCTCATGCGTCTCCGCGGATCCGCAATGGGCTCTGAGTTCCGGGCGAAGGGGGTGCATGCGGCTTTGGGTCCAATGATGAACATCATGCGTGTCCCGCAAGGCGGGCGGGTGTGGGAGGGCTTCGGCGCGGACCCGTTCCTCGCGGGTGAAGCTGCGTACGAGACGATCTTGGGAATGCAGAGTGTTGGTGTACAGGCTGTCGCGAAGCACTATATCAACAAGTAAGTCGTCGTTTCAGGCGGATGAAGACGATGTACTCACTTCATTGTCTAGCGAGCAAGAGCACGCGAGAACGATGAGCAGTTCGAACGTCGACGACCGGACGGAGCATGAGATTTACGTGCATCCCTTCTTGAGGAGCGTGATGGCCGGCGTTGCGAGTGTCATGTGCAGCTACAGTGCGTGGTCCTCTTGTTATCTTTGCTGCAGTCACAGCATCAGACCATATTGCCTCGACAGATCTCATCAATGGGACGTACGCTTGCAGCAACGACAAAACGCTCAATGGCATCCTCAAGGATGAGCTTGGATTCCGCGGCTACGTCCAGAGCGACTGGCAGGTTCGTCCGGCGCTGGCCTTCCTCTCCTGTCTCGAGGAACTGACAGGTCGTCCTCTTCTCCGTTCAGGCTACACACGCAACCCTTGACTCCATGATGGGATTGGACATGACCATGCCTGGCGACGTCACGTTCGGATCCGGAGACAGTTTCTTCGGCGGCAACATGACCGCGTACGTTCAGAACGGGACGAGTACGTGTTGTCGGATATAGTGGGAGTCGGCGAATGCTGACGCTCGCTTAGTCCCAGAAGCGAAAGTCGACGACATGGCCACTCGCATACTCGCGGCATGGTACCTCCTTGAACAAGACGAGGGATATCCTGACGTCAATTTTAATGCCTGGAACCTCCAAGATCCGCTGACCGTGCGCCGCCTTTTCTTAAACTTCATTGGTATATCCTCGTTGATGTCGTGACCGTTGGCGATAGAATGAACACGTCAACGCGCAGGAGGACCACATGGACGTTGTACGTGCCATCGGGGCAGCGAGCACGGTCCTGCTCAAGAACGCGAACGAGACGTTGCCGTTGAAGAAACCTCGGAGCGTCGCGGTCATCGGCTCTGACGCAGGACCGCAGCGGAACGGCCCGAACGAATTTGCGGATCGTGGTGGTGTAGATGGCGTGTTGGCCATGGGTTGGGGCGTACGTTGCGGAGTCTTCTAATGCTGGATAAGTCGGCTCACAACGATGCATACTTCAGTCTGGTACATGCGAGTTCCCGTATCTCGTGTCGGTGGGTACCGCCCCACTTCTTCCTTGTGTTTGGGTGTTCATGTTCGATTATGTGTAGCCGTTGGAGTCACTCCAAGCCCGCGCCCGTCATGACCGTGCTATATTCACCTGGTTCTTGAACGATTACGACCTGGTGGGCGCTGCGACGGCTGCTATAGGTCGCGATGTCGCCCTTGTGTTTATAAATGCTGGTATGCATGCCTTTGCACTTCGATCTCGTATCGAGCCTGAGATTGCGCAACTAGATAGTGGGGAGGACTATATCACCGTTGACGGCAACGAGGGAGATCGGTTCGTCGTACCTTTGTTAGTATCAATGAGCTCTCACTGACACTCCAATCGACTGTAGGAAGAACCTTACAGCCTGGCACAACGGCGACGAGCTGATCCTTGCCGTCGCCGCACAGAACAACAATACCGTGGTCGTCGCACACAGCGTAGGACCGCTGATTGTCGAGCCGTGGATCGATCATCCGAACGTGACGGCTGTACGTTGGTCGTTAGCCTAGGCTTCATGTTCACGCAGAGGCTAAGTAAGACTTGCCTATAGTTAATATGGGCTGGCATCCCCGGCCAGGAAGCTGGCAACAGTCTCGTCGACGTCCTGTACGGCGACGTCAACCCGTCCGGCAGGCTACCGTATACCATCGCCAAGAACGCGTCCGACTATCCCGCCTCGCTCGTCCTCGGTGGCGGTTCGGAGGACATCCTCAGCATTACATATAACGAAGGGTACGTCCACGTCTTCCTTGACGATGTGGCGCATACCGACCAAGAGCCACCGTAGTCTTCTGGTAGACTACCGCGCGTTCGACGCCTTAGGACGAACACCGCGATTCGAGTTCGGCTTCGGCTTGAGCTACACGCAATTTGAGTACGATAACCTAACCATCTTCAAGATTGAGGACGAGGATGTGCCGGAGTTGCACGGGCTCGAGGAATCCTGGGAGGGAGACAAGCCGTCTCCGAGCGGTTATGGGTCTTCGGTGTCCCTATGGTAGGTCTTGGGCTTGTAGGCTTGGATAGTAGAGCTGTCGCTGACGATGACCGTGGAAGGCTCCATCGCCCAGCGTACAGCGTCAACTTCGACGTCCGTAATGTCGGCGAGAGGTTCGGTGGCGAAGTAAGCCACCCCGCGTGGCCGCATCGTCTAGGTCTTCGATTACGCTAACCTAAATCCGTATTCTCAGATCCCACAGGTCTACTTGCACTTCCCGTCGGACAGTGGCGAGCCGCCGGCCGTGCTGAAGGGTTTTACCGATGTGGTGCTTCGTCCAGGCGAGAGCAAACGCGTCACCGTGAACCTCTCTCGGTACGACCTGTCTGTGTGGGACGTCCCCATGCAGGCATGGCAGCGCCCGAAGGGCGACATCGGGGTGACGGTTGGCGCAAGCAGCCGGGACGGGCGGCTGACCGGCGTTATCGAGGCAGACGACGACTGATGGCTGGTAGGTGGAGTGCCGTCGGTGGAAGGCACACTGGAACCCCGATCGCTCGCTGGACCTTTTTGGGCTCATGGACCCTTCTCCTCCGAAAATTTGGACAAATTGACGCACGGACGATATAGATCTAGGCTATAGTCTCGTTTTTAGTCATGTTAGGACGCGATCTGTCCTCCAATTTCATATGGGATCGCCCGATACCCCTTGTATTCGTCAAGGTATGGCAGCGACGGTCGACCGTGAGAGGGCGCAGCTCGAGGCTGGAAGCTTCGACACGAGTGATGCTCGCTTACGGCGGGGCGGCATTCTTGAGAACTTGTAAGCCTCCCACTTGCCGATTTTCGTCGTATTGCTTAGGCAGCTCAACAGGCGCTAAAGATGGCTTTCGGGTCCTCTATACCCTGTATCCTGGTACTTCAGCACGTCGTCTCAAGGACGATTCAGCCAGGGGCTCCAGGAAGGCGGGTATGGCTATAGGTTCGTTTGAGTAAGTTGCGAGGAGAATCCCTGATCGGCATCAGAAATATAAGGGCCCGGCCAGGCCGTGGTGTCACTGGCACCTACAACAAGAGGAAGCTGGGGCTTCCCACTTCTTCGTCTCGCTACCGGTAATCTCCACATCGATTCCTTGTCCTCGACGTGAGAGAACAGTGTGATTGGGTTCCGATTGAGGAGAGCGAGGTCCGGGAGCTGGGCCAGGTAGCCATATGTAAGGTTGAACGACGCTGGGTGGCGTCCATTACTCTCCCTCCGCTCCTGTCCTTTCGACCCTCCAAAATACTGGGCCACACATGGGTCAAATATTGTTGCTCATAGGCCGTGAGTTCCTTATTGTATCCCTTTGCTAGGCAAATCTGAATTACCTGCAGCGGCCTTGATCGCCACATTGGCGAACGCCGTCATGTACGGCATTAACCTCACGCAGGTCAGTGTTTTCACCCGCTAGACGCCGTCTACTGCACTCAGGCTTCGGGCCAGGCTTCTATATGGTACTCTCGCTTGTACAGGCGAGGCGTCAACCATCCGGTGAGGCGCAGCCACACGTGCTATGGTGTCGTCCGCTCTAACATGAATGATTCTCAGGAACCCTGGCCGATGTGGTAGGAATTCAGAAATCATCAGCATTTATCGCACGCTGACTGACATAAACGTCCAGTGCCCTTGTGGTTTGGCATATTATGGTTGGCACCTTTTCGGTTGCTTGCGGCGTGGCTCTGCGTGAGTACCGATCGTGATTTACATGCAGAGGTTTTGACCAGTAACAATGTGGTTCACCCGTAATACAGTATGTGAGTGTGACTACCATCACCGAGTCTGCCTCATCGCACTAACCATGTTTCATTCAGGGCATTATGTGAGTCAAGTGCAGCAGCACGTCTACTCACAAATTTCTCATATTCCTGCCCTATCAGGTCTTTTCCGACTCAGGTAATCTGAATTCGAACGAGCGAGGTTGGACCGTTATTGCTGGTTCGTAGAAATAGACTAAAGCATTCACAGTCCCGTGGCCAGCTTCGTGCACGCCAATTGTTACTGTTCTGTAAGGCAATCATGCTCTTGCGGACTCCGCAATAACTGACTCCTCATCGAAGTGCATCGGTTCCTATCGTCGTGAGGTCCATTGTTGCTCTCACAATTCATGCGCTCAGCTCTGTGAAGGCCTCTCTTCAATGGCCAATTGAACGTGCCTACCGCAATGCGAGCACCGGCGTTCTACTGGCTATCAGAGCCCCGCTAGTTTTGTCCCTCGCGCAAGGCGGCGTCGGCATTGCTGTGGCGGTAAAAATGCTCTTGAGCAGCAGGTACGTGTTTGCAAAGTGGGACGTATATAGCGCGCCTCATACCAGTGCGTCTGCTAGGGTTTCCTCATTGCACAGTCTGATTCCGCTGGTGGACACTTGGCTTGGTCAGTGATTGTTCGTCCCGCCGGACTCAAAATCTCACTGTCGTCGTTGCTCCCAACAGTAATCGCCATGGTGTGCGACATCGTAATGCTGTATGTGACTACGGTGTGTGATACTGCAGGCGATCCTCACGCTCTTCCTCCGGACAGGGTCGTCATTTTGTACAAGTTCAGATCGCGATGCACCGCAAACGTCACGGACCGTAAGCGAATGAATCAGCCGGAATACATCGAGACTAATAATCGTCATTAGATCTAAACAAAGCATTTCAGTTGCTGCATCAGACTGTTATCAGGTACACGATATTGACAACCCTTAGCGGCGCCTTGTGGCTGGCTACGTTCAATAAATGGCCTGAGACAAATATGTGAGGCCACCGCTATGAGTGAGCTGTGATCGTTTCTAACGGCATTGGCAGCTACCTTGTCTTCGCTCTCGTACGCATTCGTTGTTCTACGAATGGAAACAATTTGTCGCTAATATATATCTCCCGACCAGCCTATGGGCCGTATATATACGTAAGGCTCTAGTCTACATCACACAGACTGTGGCTAACCTAGTTAACGTTCAAGGTGCTACTTCCTTTCGGTCAGTTGACTAAGCCCATGCTTATGGGATCTGCTGACATCAGCTGGAACACAGTACCGCAACAATCGCGGGGTCTATCGACATGAGGAGCAATGCGAGGCGGTGGACGTAAGTCTGCGCGTACCCCAATATTCACCGAACTCAATGTCTGCCCCCAGCTTGGAATTTCCCTTGGCGAAAGCTCGAGGCAAAGACCAACCCGCGGAAAGTCGTCTGCAGGCGTTGAAAGGGAGACGCGCTTCGGCACCCAGTCAACCTTGTCCATTACCTGCGCCGGTCCGGATCCTAGTGTGCTTGAGTCGAAGGAAATAGCGCTTTCGGTCGAGCACGTCTAGATCTCGTAGGTGCCAGCTCCTGCGTCACCCTCCTGCCTGCTGCCTCAACGCAGCGGAAACACCATCAGACACTGCGCCTCCATACGGGGCTTAAACGAACCATTCCTTGCGTCTCCGATTCAACCTCCTATCTGATCTCTCCTTCCACTCTACAACTGTGTGTATGATTCGCTTCCGCGACTATAAAACTGCCACTCCTTGCTCCCTCGATTTCCTGTTGTCATGTTGCTTTCGTCCCATAAACATGCGGACCTTCCGCATACTGCTCTCTCATAGTCTCTCGTAACGTCTAGGTTATAAATAACACATTCATTTACGCCAGTGCGCGCGAGCGATGCAGGGATCATCGCAAATGTGAAAAAATACTCCTTTGTCGAGAGCATTGGACGCAGCTGGGCTACGACCACGTGGTAATAACCCTCGTTTCGGGTTAGGATCTGCAAAGTAGGGTCAACGCTGCTCTTCCCCGGACTCGCCGCAGTAAGCTCAAGCTGCTGAACGCAGCGATTCATCATGGGCGCGCCGGATTCGCGCTCTGTGGCGACTTTACTGGTTATTGGTCTTGTATTCCACCTTATCTATATCGGCGCTGTATTCGACTGCTACTTCACTGTGCGTCTGTGAATCCCCCACCTGACACTCGCCTATATCAATGGTCTGGATATTACACAGAGCCCAGTGGTCCACGGAATGAAAGCGTATGGCTCAAGAAGCTCAGGGGAAGCGAAACGCCTTGTGCTTGTTGTGGGTACGGGCCTCTACTCAGGTGCATACGATGGTACTCATCGCAGTCACGCAGGCGACGGCCTTCGAGCGGACTTGCTTCTCAACGTTAACCCATTCCCTTCTGTACGGAACTCGCAGGAAATTGTAGCGCCATATCTACGCTCTGTGATTGAGACGAGAGGAGCCTGGGGGATTTGTGAGTAGGCGACGTCATCGTTCGCCCGATCGGTCTGACAGACTCTATGGACAGCACATACGCGAGTGCCTACGGAGAGTCGGCCTGGACATGTTGCGCTCATAGGTGCGTGATTTCGTTTCACTTGGGAAGGATCTATTCTCATTCTTCAACTGTATACAGGCGGGATGTACGAAGACGTGTCCGCAGTCACGAAGGTTAAGGGCCCATTATTGGCCTCGAAAGCGATCAGTTTGACTGACATTACTTGTAGGGCTGGAAGTCTAATCCCGTTCGCGCAATTTAACTTCTGAACCCATGATCGTATCTCAAGGATATCTCTGTAGGTCGACTTCGACTCCGTGTTCAACAGATCCTCAACAACGTTCTCCTTCGGCTCCCCGGACATCCTCCCGATCTTTACGCATGCAGACTCGACTCCCCATATCCGCACGTGGTGTTACGACGAATCTGCAGAAGACTTCACTAAAGACGCTACGTCGCTTGACACGTGGGTCTTAGAGCAGCTGCACACGTTATTCGCGAACGCAACCACCGATCCGAAGTTGGACGCGCAAGTTAGAGGCGAGAAGACCGTGTTCTTCCTGCATCTTCTTGGCTTAGACACGACCGGACACGCATACAGGCCACATTCTCCGGTGATTACTGATGTTGTGGCCGTGTATCATCAAGTACTAACGAGGATCCATCAGGAATACGTGCGCAACATCCAACTCGTCGATGCCATAGTCAGGGACGCCGAGTCGCTCTTCTCGGAATACTATGGCGACAACGAGACAGCATTCGTCTTCACGGCCGACCACGGTATGAGCAGAATCGGAAATCATGGTGATGGAGGTAACAAAGCATTCCCATTTTCCATGCAATTTCATTGTTGACGATTTTTTTGCTTCAGATCCAGACAACACCCGCACGCCCTTGGTTGCCTGGGGTCCTGGCTTCCGCGGTCCGCTTCCAGACACGGTTCCTTCGACTCATGACGATTACTCGACTCCCTTCAACTTGTCTCACGTAATGCGGACCGACGTTTCTCAAGCCGACATTGCCCCACTCATGGCGTCCGTCCTGGGCATCGATTGGCCCGTCAACAGCGTCGGAGTGCTGCCTGATGTCGACCCGAATATGCCAGGAGGTGGCTATCTGCAGCTTAACGATGCCGACAAAGGGAAGGCTGAGCTGGCACTCGTCAATGCTAAGGTACACAACCTATTTATCCTGCTTATAGATGGTTCTGACCGGATATACATGTTCAGGTGATCCTGGAACAGTACCGAGTCAAACATTGTACGTCGTTGTCTGTACCCATGGACAGATGGACCGAAACCGATGATTCGATCACTCCCAGCCATCAAGAAGAAGCACACACTCTTGTATAAACCATTCATGCCACTTGCTGCCGATGAAGAGCAACAAGGGTCGGCAGACGTAGCAAACATAGAACGCCTCATCCGCGAACAACGATGGCGCGACTCGTTGGCAGCCTCTAAACGTCTCATCGATAACGCACTCGACGGCTTAAGCTATCTACAAACGTACGCAACTTCAGAGGCGATTATGTTAGCTACGAGATTGACATGTTCCGCAGATACGATCGCACCCTGATCCGCTCGCTCGTAGTCCTCGCCTACACCGGATGGATGGCATTTAGCTTATCCTTCATCCTCTCCTCGGATTCCTCCGGTTCATCGCCCTTCATCACGGCTGGTGCTGTTTCGGCGCTCCTGTTAACGTGGTTATTATTCGCCGCTCAGCACTCACCGTGGACGTTCTACGTGTACACTATCTTTCCATGCTACTTTTGGCACCAAGCACTGTGCTCAACTGTGAAAACCGGCTTGCCGAGCTGGAACCAGCCACGGAAAGAGTGGTTGTCTGCATGGTTCATCTCCAAGTTCGCTGTTCTCGGCGCTGGTGCAGTGATCGTCCTGCAAAGCATGGTGGTAGGCCTTCTCAACCCATTCGAGTTACCGCTGTCTCTGACTGCACGAAGCTTGCATATACGCACAGATCCATCTGGAGTGCTGGCTTTGTCATCATCGGCATCATCTGGCCGACTCTTTCATGGCCACGCGAGATGTGGTCCCGCAATGTCTGGCTGGGCCTATCGTGGGCGGGTAGCTGCCTGCTTACCTCCATTTTCCCGCTCCTTAGTGTCGACAAGGACGAGAGCGTGATTTTAATGTGGGTCGGGTTAGACTTGATCGTCCATCTACGTTGATAACACTTTACTGGTGCTTTCCCGCAGATCGCTGGGTGGAGCGGCGATGTTACTGGTGGGCTTCAGCGGCATCCACATACTGAGCCGGCGTGGACCAGACTTCTCTATACATCCCTTCGGAACACAGGTGCGCATCCGTCGCAGCATTTACTTACAGTCCTGACCTAGCGATGGCCTTCGAAATACATAGATGCTGCTGATCGGCGTAACGATGGCCGTGACAGCTTCGTCAGTGCGCAACCTGCAAGCAAAGCGCGGGCTTCCGCTCCTGAACGAGGTCAGTGGATGGGCGCTGTTGGGTAAGCTTGCTCGTGCATTCGCCTCGATGGTAATCGCTGACGACAGCTCAAGCTATCGCTGCGGCTGTTCCTACCTTGAGTGGGAAGAACGTAACTGGCGTGCACTCGAAGATTCTGATGTATTTCCTGGCTTTTGGCCCGTTGTTCGTGCTCCTTTCGATCAGCGTCGAAGGCCTGTTCTACGTTGTGTTCTCCATCACCCTCGCACTATGGATCGAAGTGGAATCAGCAGCTCGCGACCGATCCCCTGTCCCAGCGTTAGTGGGGTCCTCCGATCCGCGGGTACATGCGCAGGACGGGAAAATAGCGATGCCATCCTCTGGCCGATACAACCCGCGCCTGGATGACGTACGGATAGCCTTGTTCTTCCTGTTCTTCGTGCAGGTCGCGTTCTTCGGCACCGGAAAGTGGGTACCACCCTTCCCTCTTCCCGTTCATTGGCAATGCTGACGGTCCCTCGCAGCGTCGCGTCCATCTCGTAAGTGATCAAGTGCATGTAAATCCTCGAATGACGCTGATATATGGGCTTCAGGTCTTTTTACCTAGCACCCGTATATCGATTGGTGCCCATATTCAGCCCATTCCTTATGGCCTCTCTGCTGGTGTGTTGCATCCAACTTGCCATTGATTTGTCAGTCGCTTACCCAGCGCACTACCTCATCAAGATCTACAAGATCATCGCGCCATACGTGATCCTCGCGATCTCGTTCGCGGTGTTGAACGCGCGCCTCCGCCTCCCGCCCTTCTCGCTGTTCCTGGTGGCGCTCACGCTCACCGACGGTATGAAATCGCTCTATCGTTATCCAAGCTTCCGCCCGCATACTGACGCCCTCTCGTTTCCCCCCCTTTCGCAGTGATGACGATGACGTTCTTTTTCCGAGTAACGGACACCGGTACGTTTTCGCGCCTGTGACTATACGGCACGACGCTGAACGAAGCAATGCGCAGGCTCCTGGCTGGAGATCGGGCAGTCCATCACCTTTTTCTGCATATCGTCGTTGCTGCTCGTCTGGTCGGCGGGCATATGTGCCTTGGGAGAATACCTGATGTCAGAGCCTCGCAAGGCCAAAACGGAATGAATCATCGCACTCTTGCAACTGATGGACGACAGTAGGATATCTCGCCCCAAGGCTCCGTCGCTTCCACGCATGCTCTCACACTGTCGTATAATAATAAGGAGATGCATTTGCTTGATGTCATAATACACGGGTAGGAATGGGGGGTCATACTACAACTGTGTCGTGTCTAATCCACGTACCACTGTGAAAACGATAATGGAAAACGATGTTGGGGGACGGTCCAAGGAAAAACCAAATACTTCGTCGACGATGGGCAACAATTGCGCATAAAAAGGTCCATGCGCCGCGAACGATGATGGGCTGGAGATATGCGGAGGTGGGAGAAACGGCGAGCGATGATGAAGAGAAAAATATCGATAGATACGGCGTGGGGAAGCGAGATATTGAGACACGGGGGGAATGCGATGTTGTCCTTGTATGCGTGCGAACGGGATGAGGATGGGTGAATGGAAACAAGGTCAAGATGCTGCGATGCGGATCCAGAGTGTGTGCGTGATGCTGTTGTTTGGATCGAATGGAAGGTTAGGTCGTGAGAGGTCGTGCGTATCATCATCAAACAAGGGAGAGCGGGGAAGCCAAAAGGCCTCTTCTCGTGTGGACTGAGCACGGCTCGCCAGCGGACGTGCTCTGCTCGTTGACCGCTAATCAAATCTTGAGCTCGCGAAACCCGCGGACGTCCATCCGCCCCACGCCATTCTTCACCCATTCCGCCTCACCCGACTCCGGGGTACCAATCGCCGGGTCCTCTTGCGCCTTCTTGGCTTTCGTGGGCGACACCGCGGCCTTGTACCGCCCGCCGGGGATCACGATCTTGCCCGCGCTCGACTTGCCGCCGACGGTCGCCGGGCGCGCCTTCGGCAGCCCGAGCTTCTTCCGCTCGCGCTTCGACATGTGCCTAACGGGCTCCGGCGGAGGAGCCGGTAGAGGCTCGTCCGACTCGTCTTCGGAGGTGAGCGGCGAGGAGAGGTTGGACGTCCCAGGCGAAAGCTCGGGGGTGTCGGCGTCGACGACCATGTCGTCGTCCGCGTCATCGTGACGAGAGGGCGATGCACGCCGCGAACGCGTCCGCTTCGCGGCGGCGTGCTGGTGGTCCTCCGAGAGCTCGGACGAGGGGTCGCCGCGCGAGGAACAGGACGACTCATCGAAGGTCCGCTTTGGCGAGCGGAAGGAGCGCGCGGGGGACGGCGCGCGGCGGTGAATGAGGCGTGCGGAGATGGAGGACGACGGGGTGCCGTCGTTATCGACCGGGGAAGGCGAGCGTGAAGACGGCAGCGGGATCTGCGACGGCGTCCCTGGGGCGGGGGTCCCCCGATCTTGGAGCGCCGATACCGCTGAGGTAGGTTTGGAGGAGGGTACCGAGCGCCGGGCACTCGAGCGCGTCTTCGCATAAGGCTTCGTCTTGCGAGCCGGGGAGGACGACGGGGCGTCCGCGGCCGGCGTCTCGCGCACCTCGGGCGGGCCGGTGTGCGGCCCGCGCAGGTTGCGGATGGACGAAAAGTGCTCCCAATCGTGGTACCTAAGGTTCCCGTTGTTTCAGCACGCGTCGCGACCACAACGGGCAAATCCCGCCGCGGGCTTGCGGTCGGGTGACTACTCACGCGACGTATACAGGCCCTAGCGGCGGGCCGGTGTCGGCATCGTCGTGATCGTCGTCAGTTGCGGGGAAGGCGGATGCTTCTTTGCCCTTTCCGGCCCGTCGGCGGGCGCGCCGCGACAAGGTCGGCAACTCGTCGGGATCGAGGCCATCGTCGTCGTCCTCATCGTCCGCTGCTGGCGGAGGCGGGGCCGCATCGGGCGCAGCTTCGATGACGTAAACGAGCCCGGGCTGGACCACTTTCACGTTCCGGCCGGTCATATGCGCGAACGCCGAGAGCTCCATGTGGCCTCCGTACGTCCCTGCTCAAACGCGACGAAAACCGCGTAAAAATCACGGCAGGTACGAGGTGGAGAGACGAGGGGGGACTTGCCCTGCTGGCGCATGCAGCTCAGGTGGGTGTCGATCCCGCGCTCGTCGTCGCAGAACGGCTCGTAGCGCGCCTTGTGCTGCTCGATCCAGTCGCAGACGTCGCGCCGGAGCGTGGCGTGGTGCGCGGGCGTGCCGTGCAGCTGGTCGGACAGCGCGCGGAAGAGGCAGTTGCCGTCGCCCAGCGTCGGCGCGGCGTACAGCCCGAGCGCGCGCAGCTGCTCTGTCAGCAGCTGGTTGTTCAGCGCCGGGTCGGACTCGAGCGCCTGGCCGCACAAGAGGTGCGTGTTAGCAAACCATCCTTTCATTTGCGAAAATGTGGCAAAGGGGGTGCTCACCCGACCCTTTGATCTCGTCTGTCGTTGTCGTGTTACTAAGGCTATACACGTCGTTCAGCATACAATGCCGACGAGTGTAGCGTTAGATGTGAGCACTGACTTGGTTGGGGGTGCTTTACGCCCCTCTGGTGTCGCTTGGAGGAGCCCATGAGGGGGGAGCGGCGGGCGTGGAGGCGTTGCGGGGGCGGCGGGAGTGGTTGGACAAAGAGTCCCTATAAGGCAGTCGAAAGGCTAAAAACCACGGGAGCCGTATCCCGGTTCTCGCCAAATTAGGTCACGATCCAGCGAAAAAGAGGTCTCGCCGTCTGAAATTCCCGTTTCTCCTGTTGCGGTTTGTATTCCGCTCAAGCTCGGGTTTTCGTTACATCGATTGACCTTACATATACAAGGGTACAAGATCCTTCCATCTGGATAACCATCCATCTCCCCTACAAGTCATCATGAATCATGATGCTCTCGCAGACGCGGAACCTATATTCGGCTTGCACAGCCCTGAAAACGAGGTCGAAACGTGTCAGGGAATAATAATGTCCTGATCACGCGGAGAAAATGCTGTATCGCTTGCTCGGTAAGGTTATCGCGGGTGTCGCGGAAAGATCTCCAGAAGCCGCATCAAAGATCACAACAAAGGAGCTGGCACAGGTGATATTATTCTTACACCTTGTATCAATCTATCGATCCCAGTCCATCTTGCATCTCCTTGCACGCGTTGGGCATGGGAGGGAAAGTCCGAGTTTTAGACGCGCACGACGATCGCATGCTTTCCTCCCCCAACCTCCAAGCTTCCACCGACTTTGCGCGCCTTACCCCCATCCACGCTCACTTTCCCGCCCTTCACCTCCTTCGGCAGCGTCACCTCGCCCGCAGTACCCTTCGGCGTCTCGATCTTCAACTCAAACGTCTTCCGGCTCCACGTCCACTTCACACCGAACCACCCCAGCGGCGTCTCGTACTCTCCCTGCGCGGTCTTAAGCCCGGACAGATGGGGCGCGACGGCCCATGCCGTCCCCTGCGGCTTGGTCACGGTGAGGCCGAGGACGTAAAACGTGAGCGCGGAGGTAGGCCCTGACGACCATCCGTGCGCGTGCGAGGTATACGCCGGATCGTAATTGTACCCGCGGTAGGATCGATAGCTGCAGTCAAAAGATAGACGGATACGCGATCAGAGATCTGAAGCCGGAACGAGATGGGGGCGCGGAACCACACACGAACCTGAGAGACCCGTTCGCGGTGAAACCCTCGAGCAAAGTCGACTGCACGCTCAGATTCGTGTACAGCATGTAGCCCCACGTCCGATGCAACAGATCCATCGCGCGCGCGTCGTTGCCAGCCTCGAAGTGTGCTTGCAGCTACGTAGCGCCAGTTCTTCGGTTAGTCACTCCGTCAAGGGCTCGCTGAGCGAGGAGAGACGGACCTCAAAACCACCGATGAAGGGGCTGATCGTGTCCGGCAGCTCAGGCGCCACAGGACCAAGCTCGTTCCAATTCCTCTCCAACCCGGCGCTCACCAGCGCCTTCTTCTCCTCTTCGTCCGTCACATTAAACAGCACAGCGAACGAGTTCGCGTCCTGCGGCGCGAGCGTCGTCGTCGTATTATCCACGTACATCCCCTGCCCCTCATCCCAAAACGCGCCGTTGAACGCGGCCTTCAGCGCGGTCGCGTTCGCAGCCCACTTCTCCCCCAGCTCCGAAGCGTTGAGGACGGGCACAGACGAGGCGAGCTCGGCCGAGTTGGTCAGGACCTTGTAGAGTATCGCATTTCCCTCCGCGTTGTGGCCTCCACCGCCTAGCCGGGCCCAGTCGCGCAAACCGGTGACGTTCATCAGCCCAGACGAGTCGACCTTGCTCTCGACGTACGCCACGGCCTTGGTGTAGTTGGCCCAGATGGTCGAGAGCCAGGCGTCGTCGCCTGAGTAGAGGTGGTAGTTGTACGTCCCGATCAGCGTCCACATGTGGTACGTATCGCCTATGAAGTAGGTAATCCACTCTTGAATTGTCTGCGTCGGTAAGATGAAAGGAAACAAACTCACTGTCAAGCTGAGAGAGAGGTGGTCCGGACTCGGGCAAAGCTCCGGTGACGGGGTTGATGTGGACGAACATGGTCGACAGTGCATTCTTGGTCGGGAGCAAATCGTTCGTCGACACGAACTGCGTCGGCACGGCGATCCCCATATCTCCCGGCCAAACGGCACTACGCGGAACCTCAGGATGAGTGTCGATTAGGTCGTATGTGGTACTTACCGGTCACGTTTCGCGCCGTCGACGATGATGGGACCTGCCACGCCCAGCGTCGCATTGTTCGCCCAACCTGAATATATACGCATGAGCGCAGCCCGACATAGGACTGTAAAGAGATGATGAAGCACACCTGGCGACGCTACGACGGGGATTTGCCGGCCTGTGTTTACCGGTACGGTGTTCGTCTGTACCGTATACGCCCCCGCATACCACAATTTCGTCAAGAAGTCGCCGTCCACCTTTTTCTTCCCCGGCGCGGTCGTCGCCGCGAACGTGTCCTCGGTCGAGAAGTAGCCCGCGTACGCGCGCAGGTCATCGACGTGCGGCATGAACGAGATCGCGCACGACACGTTCGACACGGTGAGCTCGGTCGCGTTAGAGGCGATGGTGAGGTAGCGGAAGCCGCCGCGGAGCCAGCGTGCGGGCTGAGTCCATAGTCCCGACTCGGACACGGTGACGGGCTCGATGCCGTCGTACGTCGTGCTCGCGTCGGGGTAGGTCGAGTCGTCTGACGCGTCGGGCCGAATGAACGTCGGCGATTCCGTGAACGACAGCGCAAACGAGACAGGCGACGAGACGCCGTGCAGATTCAGCGATATGAGCCCGCCGACCTACGTGCACGAGCCGTCAGCACCGTAACCAGGGAAGAGGACAAAAAATGTGCTCACCTCAATGCCAAAGTCCAGAGCAATCCAGGAACCATTTCCGAGTGTAGTTAAGGAGCCGCTCCTACCCGTCTTCAAGAGCGACTTGGCGTTCTTCACAGCGCCGTGCGAGCTATGTACAGCCGTCGGGTACACCGTCTTCGAGTCCGGAGCATAGTTGAACTTGTCCCAAGCACCGCTTGGCGCCAGCGAGAGCGCCGGTGCGCATATCGCCGACAGCGCGATAGCTGTACGTAGCCAGCTCGTCATGTCTGATGAAACTGGCGTTGAGCGTCGAGGTCATCTTCCTGTCGCTGTTTTATATGCATATTCCTCGACCAAGCAATGCGGGACTGAGATGGTGATGAGGACATCACGAGGGGCGGAGAGGAACATCTGGTGCGGGCCGGGGTGGAGGTCATGGTGTCTGCTGAGCTCGCTGATGTGCCCGACAACTTCGAGAAGGCCCGGGGTAGGTAGGTCTGCTGACCGTGCGAACATGTGGGATGCAAGGTTGCGACATCGCAGGCCTTCATTCTTTTCGTCTCTGAGCCCTATAGAGAAACACGGTAAGATATGTATGGTAGTACTGACTCAGAGTGTCATAATGCCGGAGACAGAGCTGGAGTTCGCCTCTGTGAACCAACTGTAAAAAGATTAGAAATCGCAAGGTACTTGTTTTGAAACCCTAACCCGGGCCGAGCCCTTTCCTCCTGAGAGCGCTCACGCTGGCACTTGCATCCAACGTCAACGTTCCGACAACCACATCTGAGCCAACAACCAGCGACTTCAAGCAAGAGCAACCCATCTTCGAACTATATCCACGCGATCTGCTATGAATCGCCCCAATCTGCATACAGTCTCACTGTTTGATCTCAATGTTGATGTTATGATTTATATCGTCTGTTGCTTGCGTCACCTCGACTTGTTTCATCTAGCCTTGACATGCAGAGCATTGCACGATATTTGCGAACTTTACGCTTATAGGCGCGTATGCCTAACTGGTTTCCCCGCGACAATAGCATGGACCTACTTCCTCAAGACACCGGAGGGTATGAGCTATCCGACCATTGGTTGGCTCCTCGTCGATGTTCAGGTCTCACTGAACGTTATGCGGGCTACAAAGACCCTGAATAATCCGAAGTACAACTCGAACCTCATTCTTTGCGCCAAAAATATGTCGGTTCTACTGGCGGGGACGTATGCCCAGTTGTCGAAACTCCAGTTCTTCGACCAGGGCGAGTGTTTGCAGCGCAAACCCCGCATTGCAAACGCCATCGTCAAAATGACCAATCTTGTCGAGTTTGGCATGTCGCGTAGCGGACATGGCACACGCTTATTGAAAAGGATGAGGCAGCCCCTCCGTAGCTTACAAATCGGCAAGCCGGGCGGGCTGCCTTCTGCTATACAACCACCCACCCTCCCGCACCCTGCTAACAGCTTGGCCGATATCTCGCATTTCGCCCAAACCCTCGTGATACTGGCGCTGGAGGAGTCATATCTCTCACATCTCCATGGCTCCGGGTCATTTCCCCGTCTCCGGTATCTGCACACAACGTACACTCCTGACCAGTCACGACCCGTGCAGTGGTCCCGTGTTAATGCCATATTCCCCGCATTGCGATACTTCGTCTACCTGAAGGAGGACAAATATCCATTCACAGGGGTGGAGCGTTCTCGCGCTTACAACATGGCGATGGATTATCTGGATGATGATCAATTTCAAGGCTTGTCGCTGCGGGCGGACTGCGAAGGGGCCGAGCGCGTCTGCGAAACTCTTGATGCGGGGGAATTGATTGTGGTAGACGAGTCAAAGCAAGGCTTCAACTTCTCCGTACGGCCGGCGGTGTTACGCTGGTTCCAGCATAAACCCGAGGATGCGAGGAAGACCCTTCAAGGTCTGACACGCAGTGTTCCCTCCCTGAAGGTCATACTCTTTGGCTCACTCGCCGCCATATCCGACACGCATATGTCAAGATGCGACGGGATCTGCAAAGGGTCTGTGGTGAGTTGTGTACCTATAGTCGCTCCAGAACAGATATGAACAGATGATCGGTAGACGGACATGAAGCACCTCCTGCGCGCATTGCCCATCGCGAGCCTTAACCTGCGGTTGCATTCCTCTGTCCTGAACGGCATGTCTGCTGCCAACCGCTCAAGCTCAGGCCCCGCAGAGGCATACGCGACGGAGCTTGCCAGCGTGATACCTCGCTTGAGATATATAAGTCTATACATCCTAGGATCAACGGAACAACAACCAATCTCGTGGAAAGTTGTCAAGCGGAAGCTCCTTCGCGTCTCGGGAGCGGCCAACCAGCAGTGGAGAGAATCTCAGGCTAGTGATCTCTGTACCGTCTCTTCGAGTAAAAATGCGCTGATCATTGTGTTTACCAGCAGCTTCGCGAATGTTCTGCCTGGGCAAGAGAGGAGTGGCTCGTGGAGCTGTTTCTACATCCAAAAAAGAAGACCAGACAGGGCAACGCAATGAATCTCCACATATCGCCATACTTTACCAGCTACGACGATGACGATTATGAAGCGCCGTACCGCATTAGGTACTGCGCAGACGATGATGATGATCGTGCCGTCTGGGAATATCTTCATGGCTATCGTGACGAATACTCTTAAAGGCGGTATGTCAGTGGGAGAAATAGTACGTGACCACAAGGGGACTGGTATGCACAACTGTACTGGCGATTGTGACTGTACGATCCGACTTCGGGGCGCGTAGTCTAGAAATTGTGAGGATATGTTGTGAGGATATGCGGGCGACGTCCATATTTAGCGTGACTTGTACTTGAAGTAGAACACTCTTGGCAGGCGACCTAGTATCCCAAATGCATTTCATGCGGAGTAAGTCGTATGTCCGTTAGTGACTGACAACGCCGAGGGCACCATACGCCATATGCATATGATCCCGAACAAGTACGCTTCAGCGCGACCCTTCCCCGTCGCTCATAGTAGCCCTCGTACTGTATAGCACCCTCTTGTCTCTTGGCTGCGAATGCCAAGCCACTTGTAGCAGCCCCATCGGATACAAATTGATCCAGATATCGACCAGATATTCGTGTTATCATGCTCAGAGTATTCAAGGAAGTACACGGCATCTGACCCGCATCACGATGTCCACGATGATCAGAGCGCGTAAAATGAGGATAGACGACCCTCCTCAAAGGGATCGACACCGCTTGACGGCGAGGATGACGAGACGAGGAACAAAGCTCGACAACACGCTCGCCTTCATCGAGTGCAATAACGTTCGAGGCGAGGATCGATGCTTTCCTCGCTCTGATGTGCAATGAGCGCCTATCGGTCACGTCGGGGACTCGGGACGGAGTATGGTTCAGCAGGACACATACATAGACCACCCAGTCACAATAGAACGTCCAGAAGACGATCGAGCATAAGCTATTATCATTCATAACTAGGATACGACATGAAAACTAGTAAGAGGACATACAAAGCATAGACCAAGAAACCTGGTGGTTGAAAGCGGATTTAAGAGACGGCGGCGGATCATACAACCTCCCGGCGACTCCTCGACTCCGCAAGACTAAGCTCCAGCACGAATTTCAACTCTTCGTCCTCGTCCTCATTGGCCGCGGCAGGTCTCGTGGTAAACAACAACGACATCCCTCCTTGCGACGATGATGCCCCGTCGATCGCGCGCGCAGGAAGTCCCCTCATAGACTCTGGGCTCCCAGCTACCGAGGCTGGCCGCTGGAACGGCGAACCCATGCTCCACGCCGAGCGCCCCGCAGAGCGCGCCACAGCCGGGCTGCCAGGTCCGGAAAATCCACCTGCCAGGCTCGAGCTCGGCATCCCGCTCACGCGAGATGGGGCGCGGTACCACACACGAACCTGAGAGACCCGTTCGCGGTGAAACCCTCGAGCAAAGTCGACTGCATGCTCAGATTCGTTTACAGCATGTAGCCCCACGTCCGATGCAACAGATCCATCGCGCGCGCGTCATTGCCAGCCTCGAAGTGTGCTTGCAGCTACGTGGCGCCAATTCTTCGGTTAGTCACTCCGTCAAGGGCTCGCTGAGCGAGGAGAGACGGACCTCAAAACCACCGATGAAGGGGCTGATCGTGTCCGGCAGCTCAGGCGCCACAGGACCAAGCTCGTTCCAATTCCTCTCCAGCCTGGCGCTCACCAACGCCTTCTTCTCCTCTCCGTCCGTCACATTGAACAGCACAGCGAACGAGTTCGCGTCCTGCGGCGCGAGCGTCGTCGTCGTATTATCCACGTACATCCCCTGCCCCTCATCCCAAAACGCGCCGTTGAACGCGGCCTTCAGCGCGGTCGCGTTCGCAGCCCACTTCTCCCCCAGCTCCGAAGCGTTGAGGACGGGCACAGACGAGGCGAGCTCGGCCGAGTTGGTCAGGGCCTTGTAGAGTATCGCATTTCCCTCCGCGTTGTGGTCCCCACCGCCGAGCGGGCCCAATCGCGCAGACCGGTGACGTTCATCAGCTCAGACGAGTCGACCTTGCTCTCGACGTACGCTACGGCTTTGGTGTAGTTTGCCCAGATGGTCGAGAGCCAGGCGTCGTCGCCTGAGTAGAGGTGGTAGTTGTACGTCCCGATCAGCGTCCACATGTGGTGAGTATCGCCTATGAAAGTAGATAATCCACACTTGAATTGTCTGCATCGGTAAGTAGGTCTGCTGACCGTGCGAACCTGTCGGGTGCTATCTTTGGATCAACGAGAGGATCAGCGTTGGAAACCAACATCAACATTCCGACAGACACCACATCGTGGCGAACGACCAGCGACTTCAACAGTAAACCGTCCTCAAACCACATATACGTGGTTGATCTGCTATGAATCACAGCAATCCGCCTACCATCTCATTTCTTGATCTCAACGTCGATGTCCACATTCATATCATCCATGGATTGCGTCAACTCGACGTGCGTCACCTCGCCATGACATGCAGAGTATTGAATAATATCTGCGAGCTGTACTTTTACAAACGCGGCAACCTCGTTGGTCTATCCAAAATAACAACATTCGCTGATTTTCTCGCCACACCGGAGGGCATGCACCACCCGACCATTCACTGGCTCCTCTTCGATATCCAAAGCCCGCTCAAGGCTATTCGTACTACCCACTGGACCTCAAATGGCCCGGAATACAAGTCGTACCTCATGCGTTGCGCTGAAAAGATGTTAGGTCTGCTGGCGGGAAAGTACGCTCAGGTGCCGAAACTCCAGCTCTTTGATCAGGGCGAGTGTTTGGGGCGAGAACCCCGCCTTGCAGGCGCCATTGTCAACATGCACCACCTTGTTGACTTTGCCATGTCGCGCAGCAGCCACGGCATGGGCCTGCTGAGGTGCATGAGTCAGCCCCTCCGTAGCTTGCAAATAGGCAAGCCGGGCGGGGTGCCTTACACTTTACAGCCTCCCACTCCTAGAACCTTGGATGATATCTCCCTTTTTGCCCAATCCCTCGAGACGTTGGCGCTAGAGGAGTCGTATCTCTCATCTCTACAGTACACCGGGACGTTCCCCCGCCTTCGGTATTTGCGCACCACGTACATTCCTGGCCAATCACAACCTGTGCAGTGGACCCATATTAACACCACATTCCCTGCATTGCGATACATGATCTACGTGAAGGAGGATCAAGGTCCGGATATCGGGGTGGAGCATTCCCGCGTTTACAATGAAGCAATGGACTATGCAAGCGAGGATCAGAGTCTAGGCTTGTCGCTACGGACAGATTGCGACGGGGTCGAGCGAATTCGCAAAACTCTCGATGTGCGGGAGTTGATCATGGTAGGCGAGTTGGGGACGACGACGATCGACTTCCTCGTACGGCCATCGGTGTTCTGCTGGTTTCAACACAACATCGAGTATGCAAGAAAGACCCTTGAATTTGTGACGCGTAGCGTCTCTTCCCTGAACGTCATACTCTTCGGCTCACTTGCTGCCGTACCCAATACACATGCATTAAGCTTCAGCGGGCTCTGCAAGGGATCTATGGTGAGTGGCCTACTGGCACTCGATCCGAAAGATGCATGAGGTCATATGATTGGTAGACGGACATAGGGTACCTCTTACACTTACTGCCAATTGTCGGCCTCAACCTGCGGGTGGATTCCTCTATGGTGAATGATGGCACGGCAGCTGCCGCCCTCCATCCAAGCTCTATCCCCGCCGAGACATACGCGAAAAAGCTTCTCGGCCTCATACCTGGTCTCAAGCGCATCAATTTATACATACTAGGATCAGAGGAGCCACAGCCAATTTCGTGGATAGCTGAGGATCGGATACTCCGTCGCGTCTCGGCAGAGGATGGTCGGGTTTGGAGAGAAGCTCAGGCAAGTAACTTCCTCGCATGAATCATCCCTGCGAGGGAAAACGCATTAATCGATCTGTTGGCGAGCAGCTCCGTGAATATTCTGCTTGGGCACATGAGGAGTGCCGCGCGGAGCTCTTCTTGAACCCGAACAGGCCTACCTACTTTAGGCAGTCGACACCGAGCGTTGCAAGGACCCTTTATGGAGCGCAACGCCGTGGTAGATTCCAACAGGATGACTATGACAACTCTGATGGCTACGATGATTATAATGACTGGGCGTAAGTCGATAGCGATTGCTCCCAAATGTGTATGTCAGTCGGCTCGAGCGCTGCCCGTTGTAGCGATCAGGGGGGCTTAGAGGTGGAGTGTGGACGCGGATTATGAATATATGGTGCATCCCCGTCGTGATCAAATGTCAGAAAACCGATCTAGCATAGCCCGGGATTGTTCAGCACTATATAATGACATGAAGAATCTAGTAAGACCGCATACGAGTCATATTTCACGAAACTTATTGGCAATGCAAATCTAAGACGGCGGCAGATCACACAACCTCCCCGCGACTCCTCGCCTCCGCAAGACTAAGCTCCAGCACGAATTTCAACTCTTCGTCCTCATCCTCGTCGGCCGCAGCAGGTTTCGTGGTGGACAAGAACGACGCCGCTCCTTGAGACGACGATGCCCCGTCGATCGCGCGCGCAGGAAGTCCCCTCATAGACTCCGGGCTCCCAGCTACCGAGGCTGGCCGCTGGAACGGCGAACCCATGCTCCACGCCGAGCGCCCCGCAGAGCGCGCCACAGCTGGGCTGCCAGGTCCGGAAAACCCACCTGCCAGGCTAGAGCTCGGCGTCCCGCTCGCAGACGAGACCGACGAGGCGATCACGGGGGGAAACTCCCCGCCGTCCTCGATCGAAGGGAGCCGGGACATGGACACCGCACCGGCACCTCCTCCAACGGGCAAAGAACGCGAAGACGGCAACGGGCTCCCGCTGAACCCGGCCTCCATCGGCTCCGGCCGGAACCGCGGCGACACCTGCACCTTCGTGCTGGACGAAGGGGGTGACGCGCGCGCGTACTTGTTCTCTGTCGAGGACTGGGACAACCGCCGTTCGGAAGGCGAGATCGGGCTCGGGGTGTCGCGATCGGATGTGACGGCGTCTTCGTCGAAATCGCCCTCAAAAACGCCTTCATCGTAGCCCCCTCGCGCGACGCGCCGGCGCTCTTCTTCGTCGCGGCTGAGCATAAGCACGTACTCCACGGCTTCGACCTCGTTCAGACCGAGATGGTCGAGCGTGTTCCGTTGCTCGCGCTCGCGGCCGTATATGGCGCGCTTTTTTGACTGCTCCTCGGCGAGAGCACGACGGGAATCGGCGATATCTCGCTTCAGTTCGTATTGTTCTGGCACGCGGCAATAACTTATGAGCTCGAGTAGATGTCTATCTGGATAGATGTGGACTCACGGTGCCATTTCGCCATAGCGCCGCCTGACTTCGTCTTCTTCATTCCAGATATATTCCACCGGCCTGTTTTCCTTCTGCTCACGGGGCCTGCCTTCCAAGCTAACACGCAGCTTCCTACACTGGCAACGAACATCTCGTTCTCCAATATAATCTGGCTCACAGCAAATATTTCGCCTCTGCCCGATGGAGAATGGAAGGCCCTAAGAGCGCCCAAGGTGAGTAAGTCCCACACTTTGACGACCCCATGCTCGGAGCCAGTCAACAGGACAGAGGAGTTACGCGCAAGCGCAGTAACTGCCTCGCCATATGCTTCGAAAGTCCGGGTGGCCTGGACGAGATCGGCGGAGGGGCGTCGTGAAGAACCCCAGCTGTAGATGCTAACCGTGCCTAGCTCGTACCCGACGACGGCAAAGTCCGCTTCGCTCGCTTTGGTCCCAAAGCACGGTATGAACGACCTGACGGGGCCAAATGCGCCACCACCGAGGGTGAGCCTCTTGTCAGAGCCGTCCGCGGGCTTGACGGTCAGGCGATAAACGTTCGGGTCGTCTTCGCGGGAATATAGCACAGACACTTCGGTCTCCCCGCGGGGATCGATAAACATCGACGAGATGGGGCGTCCTTCGGGATCGACAGGAGAGCCGGACAACTGATCTACAGGAGGATCAATCTTCGCCTGCCGGATGGCCGGTCTAGCGTTTGATGAAATCGCAGGGTCCAGAATATTGGGGGCAAAACCGGTATATATGATGATGCGGCCACTGTTGAACCCGACGGCGATGACACCCTTCGCAACGTCCGACACCAACTTCGAGCAAAGGTCGGGCACGAGCGGGGTATGCTCCGGAGACGTCCACACGCAGCGGACGCGTTTAGCATCCCACAGCTTGACAACGCCGTGTACGTCGGATGACACGACCGCCGCGCCGTCCCATATTATCTCCTTCACCGGCCGCACGTGCTGGTCCTCTACCTGACAGCGTACAAGCGATGCCGGACCCCTCGTAGCCGAGTCGACGGCCTTCGCAGCCGTCGTGACGGCGACCTCGCCATTGCGGTAACCCCACGCGATCTTGGCCGTCTTCCCCTCCGATGTGAGCGCGCAGGCGGAGACGTTCGGAGAAAACTCGGCGTTGGGGTTGCCGATCCCGAGTCCGTTGAGCGTGCCAGAGGCGTCGAGGAAGCCCTTCAGGATCTTGCCATTCAAAGGGAGCGAGCGCGAGACGACGCCGTACTGGATTGAGGCGGAGAGCAACGCGTTCTCGCTCAGGAGGTGCATACCCGCGACCGGGGAGTAGTGCGGCACGTGTGCGATGGTCGGTGTGGTGGAGTACGCCCAGCGTCTGGAAGGGTGAAACATCAATACGTCTGCGGAAAGCCGATTGCAAGCGCGATGAACGGTGATCCTACCTGGTGGTGCGATAACGCGTTATGAACTCCTTCCTCCATGAGCTCTCGGATCGTCGCAGCATCAACGTGCTTGCTTCGTCGAGCGCATCCTCGGGCGATATCCCCAGGAACTGGTAGAGGAAGGCCCTGTACCACGTATTATCCTTCGTTACGTGTTCGTGCAGGTATCTGTTGGTCCTGGCGAGCGCCAAGAGCTCCGGCGGCTCGAGGTGGGCGGTGACATGGGTAAGGGACTCCGGTGGCAGCTCCAGGAGGATAGAGAACTGGACAGCTTGGGGCGACGAGAGTCCATGCTGGGTGAGTTTGCGGTGGGCAACGTGAGCGTTCTTGTTCTTCGAGCGATGTGGGGAAGATTCGGTGGGGCTCTTATGCATAAAATAGGGCGAGGGTAGTCGCTGAAGCTCTGGGTCGCAGACGAGGGGTGTCCGCGAGCGTCGTGGTTGAGAGTGAAGATGGCGATTGCCAGCAGAACACCATAACGGGCGTCATTTCTCACGGGCCCGTGAATGTAGCGCCACCATCGGACCTTCGCCCCGACAGAGACTCTCTTGACGAACGTGCACTCGAGTCGTGATAAAACCCCCACCGAAAGACACGTATTACGCCCTATAAAATATGACTGACACGTAGGGCCTCCGTAGTATATAAGTAGAGTACAAACGATCATGTACTCTAGCTTTCTCCTGCGCACTCAACGAGACTTACCCCGGTCTATTGTGTGAACTCTGAGGAACTCTAACCGTGTGACTACACTTCGCTTACAAAGCTTACCCGTCGTCACATATTTTTGACCGTTTACTTCTTGTGAGTAAAACAATCAAATCGTCTCTAGGCTGACTTCCTTTGATTTAGGTTCCAACTCGGATTGATCACCCGGGTCTATCCTATCATTGGACGTCGTCCGTTTCGTAAGTACTACAGTTACATTTATCCAATACAGGAATTACGCTATGGTAGCTCCTACGGATAATGTACCTCGACGCGTCCTTCGCAGTGACTCGCGACGAACCGAGTCCGGCGATAGTGCCGCAACCGGCAGAACCATATCAAGGGTCGACTCCCTGTGATGAGAAGAGAAGGACAATTTATTTTCGCATTTTTCATTTCTAAATATGGACTTATCATTCTCCTTTTCCCACCTTTCCTTTTCCAAAGTCACGTGACCTTCAGTGGCAGCAGTACAGCATCATTGACACTGCCCTGCACAGCCTTGCACAGCCTTGCACAGCCTTGCACAGCCACCGGAGTTTTATTCCGCTTACTCATGAA